TGCGGCCCGGTACCAATTGATCCACAGACCGGTGCCCGGTGGTTGGGGAACGATGCATTATAGTATTTATTCAGAATCAATTACTATAGTACTTGTTTTGGAGTGAATTATCCACTTAAAATACCCACTATGAGATATTACCTTAAGTTAATATTAAAATAATAATCCTATATATTAGATTTAAAATAAATATTTTGGTTATTCTGTCAGCTGTCTATGCAGGTATCCAGTATAGGAAGTTAATGTTAATCAAGTAACAAAATACATCTTAAAATTTTAATTCATGATATAAATTAAGAGGCTGCATGGTGGCGCAGTGGGTAGCGCTGTCGTCTCACAGCAATAAGGTCACTGGTTACAGCTTCGGCTGGGTCAGTTGGCATTTCTGTGTGGAGTTTGCATGTTTTTCCCATGTTGGCGTTGGTGTCCTCCGGTTTCCCCCACAGTCCTAAGACATGCGCTATAAGGGAATTGGGTAGGCTAAATTGTCAGTATGTATGTGTGAGTGAGTGTGTATGGATGTTTCCCAGTGAAGGGTTGCAGCTAGAAGGGCATCCGCTGCGTAAAACAAATGCTGGATAAGTTGGCGGTTCATTCCGCGGTGGCGACCCCAGATTAATAAAGGGACTACGCCGAAAAGAAAACGAATGAAAGGTATGTTTATTATAAATCTTTTCACGAATATCAATAGTTTTGTTTTGATAATTTTCTCTCCCTCAGAAATTCCTCTTTGGTTTCTCCCTGCTTCATTTTTTTAACTACTTCATTAAAGCCTTATAGCAAACACCATATAAACGTCACATTAGGTCAATTTACGCTGATATAATTCCTGCAATATTAATGTTGTGCGCTCACACATTGTACTTATGTGGCATCCCAGGATAAACGGAAACATCCGAGAGAACAGAAAACCCTTCAGACGGGCAGAAACCACTTTCAGCTGCTTCATAAATACAAGCGCTGTCCGTTTGGGCTGGTGATTCAGCAGTAAGTGAGAATTATCACCCACAACCCAACAGACAGTCATGATTCACCAAAGGCTGATGTGAACTTCATTATATTTAGACCGGAGTTCCTGAACAATCCCCCTCATAAACCCTAAATCAGGACGGGAAGCATGAGGAGCCACGTGAAAGGGGGGAAAAACGAGCAAACTCCAGCACTTTAAAGCAGTGTGTGAGTTATACACTAGCTGTGCCTCCATTCCAGGATGTTAATTGAATTTAAGCACAAAACTGGAATATCGCATAGAAATTGTTGCGAATAAAGCAGCGTTTCAATCTAATAAGTCAGAAGCCCCTTTCACACATACAGACCTTTCTGGAAAATTACCGGTAATCTGCCGGAAAGTTGTGTATGTGTAAACAGGCCCCTTTTTTAAAATACCGGTAAATTCGTTCTGGCTATTTTCCGGAAAGAGAAGTAGTAACATTAGCCCCTTTCACACAGTGATACCGTTAAATATCCGGAAAATTTTTTGGAACGACTTTACCGGTATATTCAAAAAAGCGCTGTTCACACAGGCGAGGACGTAACGGAAATTTTCCGGAAAAGAGCATTCACACATCGATTCCAAAATACCGGTAATTTCTGACATCATTTACCACAAATGAGCTTTAAACGGCTGCGCTTATATTTGTAAACATTTGCCTAAATTACAGACTCTGTGGATGATCAATATTGTGAACAACTTTCGCAGGATCACTTTCTCATGTCGAGATGTTCATAATATGTGCGTGTGCTGGCGCTCATAGGCGCACGCAAAGCTTGAAGGTAAACAAACAACGGCTTGTCATAAGCATCTCATCGATGATTATTTACACAGTTGGCATTAAGAAGAACATATAAACGTGATCTGACTAACTTCTAGCAGCTAAATGTGTCTGGAAAAATATTCAAAGGTTTTTATCCTCATAAACCGCGCGGACGTAAATGCGTCTGACTGTTGTGATTGGCTAAAGCAGACGTCTCACGTCAGCACGTTCTAGACGTGCACGCGCTTATTACGGGAATCTTCCTTCTGCATTCACACAGCGCAGCATTCCGGCAAATTGCCGGTAATGTTACAACTTCTCTTTCCGGAAAATAGCCAGAACGAATTTACCGGTATTTTCAAAAAGGACCTGTTCACACATGCAACAAGGTCTGTATGTGTGAAAGGGGCTATTACCGGTTATATGCCGTAATGCTGCGCTGTGTGAACGCAGAAGGAAGATTGACGGAAAGAGCGCGTGCACGTCTAGAACGTGCTGACGTGAGACGTCTACATTAGCCAATCAGAACAGTCAGACGCGTTCACGTCCGCGCTGTTTATGAGAATAAAAGCCTTTAAATATTTTCCCAGACACATTTAGCTGCTAGAAGTTAGTCAGATCACGTTTATATGTTCATCTTAATGCCAACTGTGTAAATAATTATCGATAAGATGCTTATGATAAGCCGCTGTTTGTTTACCTTCAAGCTTTGCGTGTGCCCGTGAAACAGCCTGTGAGTGCCTGCACACACACACATCATGTACATCTCGACATGCGAAATATGTGTTTTCATCTAAGTTGTTCACAATACTGATCCATCCACAGAGTTTGTGATGTAGTCAAATGTTTACAAACACAAGCGCAGCCGTTTAGAGCTCATTTCTGGTGAATGATGTCAGAATTTACCGGTATTTTGCAATGGATGTGTGAATGCTCTTTTACGGAAAAATTCCGTAGCATCCTCGCCTGTGCGAACAGCGCTTTTTTCAAATTTATCGGTAAAGTATGGAATAAAATCACTGTCATGAATATTTCATGCGTAAATAAAATGCACGCATCCGTAATTATAAAATCGTAAAGGAAAACAGAACGTACTGGTAATTTTACAAGGGTACAATTCCAAAATCTGCGATTAGAACAGACACAGATACGACATTTTCTTTGTCTGTTTGTATATGACTGATGAATTTACGATGGGTGTACTGTACAAACACGAAATACAGTTTCACCTCGAACACAAAGTCCTGATTACGAGTACGAATCAAACAGCGACATTCTACTGTGAAAATTACGTCACCGCTGTCACAGGCATTAATAAACAAGCGAGAGTCATCGATCAAAACTGCGCGCCATCTGAGCCCCCACACACCGTCTCAGGTAAGAGTTTTGTCATGCCCTCTTTGGGAAATGTCCGTCACGAGCTGTAATAAAGGTTGAGACTTAATGAGGTCCATTTTCGCTGTTTTTCTTGGACATTTTATTAAATCAAAATTAAGAATGGGACGAGGATAGTGAGCTAGCATAATGTAAATTAACATTACAGGCAGCGAGCGCAGTATCTGTATTGCTTGCTTGACTTATGACTTGAAAACAACATTCGCGCTATTTATTTGACTGTGAACAATGCTGTACGTTGATATAGTCACTGGTAGCTAGTATGATTTCACTATTTAGAATTTACAAAGACTTTTATGATAGTACATTAATAAGGAGAAAGTGTGAATGTGCTAATATAAAACCAAATTTACCTCAATACTGTATTATCTCCAAATAAAAACTGCAGTTGTGCTTTAACATCAATAAACATACTGCAATAGTGTGTAAGTTATCCTGTTAATGTTCACTTCTGAGGATCCCTAAAGTCTGAAACTGAGGTAAGGTTGGTTTTAAATTCACACATTCGTTCAGTGGCAACTTGTGAAATGCTCCCTATATTGTTTACCATGGTACTTTGAATATTGGGTCTGAAATTGCATGGAGGTTTGACTTAAAAACAACATTAGCGCTATTTATTTGACAGTGAACAATGTTGTACGTTGATATAGTCACTGGCATAGAGGTAAAGTTGGTTTTATATTCGCACATTCGTTCATTTAGCAGTCTATATATTGTTTACTATGTTACTTTGAATATTCGATCGGAATTAGCATGCAAGTGTGACTTAAAAACAACATTAACACTGTTTATTTGACTGTGAACAATGTTTTACTTTGATAGTCATTTGCTTCTAATATGATTTAGCTATTTAGAGCTTGCAAATAGTACTTTTATGAAATGATATCATTAAAGGGAAAGTTCGAATATGCGAATATAAAACCAACTTTACCTCTGTCACTGGCTGCTAATATATAGAATTCACGATACTTTTCTGATAGTACATTATTAAGGAGAAAAAAATGTGCGACTTTACCTCAAATACTCTAATATCTCCAAATGAAAGTAGTGGTTGTGCTCTAATATCAATAAACATACTGCAGTAGAGTGTATAATACTAATGTTCACTTCTGAGGATCCCTAAAATCTGATACTGAGATATTATTTGTTTTCCATTCGCAAATTCATTCGTGAAATGCTCCCTATATTGTTTACCATGGTACTTTGAATATTGAGTCTGAAATCGCATGTAGGTATGACTTGAAAACAACATTAGCACTATTTATTTGACTGAAGATGTTGATATAGTCACTGGCTGCTAATATATAGAATTTACAATACTTTTCTGAAATGTTATTATTGAGGTGAAAGTCTGAATGTTTTCCAGAGATGGGTTGCGGCTGGAAGGGCATTCGCTGCGTAAAAAACTTGCTGGATAAGTTGGCGGATCATTCCGCTGTGGCGACCCCGGATTAATAAAGGAACTAAGCCGACAAGACAATGAATGAATGAAAGTCTGAATGTGCAAATATGAACCCGACTTTACCTCAATACTTGGTTATCTCCAAATAAAAGTAGTGGTCGTGCTGTAATATCAACACATACACTGCAGTAGTGTCTATCACGCTAATGTTCACTTCTGAGGATCCCTAAAGCCCTTTTAAAGGAAAGTGAAAGAGCGTCGCGTTTGTCGCCAAACACAATTAGAGTTGTGTTTGTTTCTGATGTCACTGATGCGGTTTTCTGTCACGAGCGATCGATACTCGCGACAAACGCTGACAGGAAAAACTTATCAGACCCTAGAGTTTCCCAAAACCTCCAGACTTGCTCGAACACATCACGAGAAGCGTATTTCTGGCGGTTATGTCCTACCTTTCACGGCTGTTTCGTCTCGTGGTCCGTCTGTGTGGTCTCTTCCATCTGCAGTCAGTCGTGTTGGAAGTTTTGAACGCGCGCTGTTCTCTGGAACTGCAGTGTGAGTTGAGAGAATGAGTGAGTGTGTGTTCCCTCGTTAGTGTGCACCGTGTGTTTAGAATCCGTCACTCGAGTGTGTAAGTGACGTGGAGATCTGCTGCAGTTCCCATTGGATTCGCATTAAATACACACACACACGAGCTTGAGCTTTACTATGGAGTCAGATCAGTCTCAAAAATAATACATTTACAAAAATAATTTACAAAATCTAATGTCAGTTTGTAAGCACAATTTGTGAAGACAAAAGTAAAAATGAATTTCACTTATATCGTATTTTGAATTTATGAAGTTGAGTCTTTTGAAATCATGTTTTGAGTTTACGAAGTGTATTAGTGTATCTCTGAATCGTGTTTTGAGTTTACGAATTGTTTTTGTCTATATCTAAATCGTGTTTTGAGTTTTACGAATTGTATTTGTGTATCTCTGAATCGTGTTTTGAGTTTTACGAATTGTATTTGTGTATCTCTGAATCGTGTTTTGAGTTTTACGAATTGTATTTGTGTATCTCTGAATCGTGTTTTGAGTTTTACGAATTGTATTTGTGTATCTCTGAATCGTGTTTTGAGTTTACGAATTGGAGTTTTGTATTTTTAAATTGTGTTTTAAATTCATGAATTGAAGTTGTGTATTTTTGCATCATGTTTTAAATTTACGAATCATGTTTTCAAATTACGAATTGGATTTGTGAATTTTGAAATTGTTTTGAATTCACCAATTGAAGTTGTGTTTTTAAATTGTGTTTTGAACTCACAAATTGGACTTGCATATTTTTGAATGTTGAAATTGTATTTTGAATTAAATAATTGGATTGTGTAAATGTTAATTTCGTTGTGAACGTATTAAACGTTTTAAATTTATTTTGTAAATGTATTATTTTTGAGACTGATCTGGCTCCATATCCACCTTCTTCACTACTTTTTATACTCGGACACTTTCCATGAATAGACTATACATCAGGGGTGGCCAGCCCTGTTCCTGGAGAGCCACCTTCCTGCAGATTTCAGTTGCAACCCATATCAAACACACCTGCCTGTAATTATCACGTGGTGTTCAGGTCCTTATTAATTGGTTCAGGTGTGTTTGATATGTGTAGCAACTGAACTCTGCAGGAAGGTGGCTCTCCAGGAACAGGGTTGGCCACCCTAGCTATACATCAACCATGAAAGGCCCAAATATATAAAATAATAATACTAAAGATAAAAACAGTAAAAGGTTTGCATTACACTGAAGAAATATACAAATCTTATCTTAATATCAACCTTATGGCGTTGTGTGCCTGCTGGGGAAGAACAGTACATCTCAGAAATATACTGTACTTAAATTTGCACTTTACTGTACTTACTTGACTTTTGTCCAAAACTTGTTCACTCACAGTCACCAATTAATTTTTTTCCCTATATTATATATTTCATGCAGCAGTTTAAAAACCAAGCTTTCTGAGTAAAAAATAAGCTCAGTTCTGTAAATATTTATAATTAAAGAGATTTTGAGGGCCAAAGAGTGAACTTAAATACAGTAATTTAATCTTAAATGATTCTTCAGCTGAATTGTGATATTTCTGACATATAAACTATTGTTACACAATGACATTTAGTAGCTGTCAAACAAACAAATACATAAACAGGACAACATTTACAACTGAACTGAACTGAACTTAAACACTAAAACCTGAACCACACTGTTCCAGTTACTATGACCATTTATGTGAAGCTGCTTTGACACAATCTACATTGTAAAAGCGCTATACAAATAAAGCTGAATTGAATTGAATTTATGAAGAGAAAAAAAAAAAAAAAAAAAAAAAAAACAGTGTGGTAGGGAGAGCGTGGCCGAACACCAAGAAAGTTGGAGAGCGAGTGGAGACACCGGAGGCTGGTCAGTAGCCCAATCAGAAATAATTAATAACACCTGATTTCTTGAGCGATTGGGCCGGAGAGACACCTTCTTAAGGGAGCGAGCGAGAGCGAGAGAGAGAGAGCTGAGCGACAACCAGCATATTGAGAGCTGTCGCTGACACACCGAAAAGAATAATAAAAATTGTCACTTACCTTTACGCCAATCCTGTCTTCTTCTTTCCACAACAAACAACCTTTCCACAAACAGCTTTCATTGTTTTGAATTTTTTATTGCTTTTATTGTTTTGTCTATTGTTGTTATTTGTTTGATGGTGAGGCAGTGGTGCAGTAGGTAGTGCTGTCACCTCACAGCAAGAAGGTCACAGGTTCGAACCTCGGCTCAGTTTGCTTTTCTGTGTGGAGTTTGCATGTTCTCCCTGCATTCGCGTGGGTTTCCTCCGGGTGCTCCGGTTTCCCCCACAGTCCAAAGACATGCGGTACAGGTGAATTGGGTAGGCTAAATTGTCCGTAGTGTATGAGTGTGTGTGTGTGTGGATGTTTCCCAGAGATGGGTTGCGGCTGGAAGGGCATCCGCTGCGTAAAAACTTGCTGGATAAATTGGCGGTTCATTCCGCTGTGGCGACCCCGGATTAATAAAGGGACTAAGCCGAAAAGAAAATGAATGTTATTTGTTTGTTTGTGCCTATATTAAACAAAACAGTTATTAAGTATTTAGTTTGGGTCTGTAATGCAGACGCTTTGATGAAAAATAACCCAAAAACACTTCAATGCTTTCAAGAGACAACATCTTTGTCCATTTACACATTTTCCTCCAGAGCTTATGTGGGATTTCCAGCACTGCAAGTTCATTTCTTGCATTTTTTTTATGCAGGGAAGCTCTTGCTTTTTACTCTATAGTGCACCAGCAGATGAACACGTGATCATGGAAGACCTGAAGCGGCAGATCAAATCCCAGAAGCTGTCAATCATAACAACATCACTTTTTTTACATCCCCAAATCAGAAAAAGTTGGGACAGTACGGGAAATGCAAAATAATAATAAAACATTAATAATAAATAAATAAATAAATAAATAAATAAATAAAAAAACAGAGTATTAATTAAAAAATTTAAGTTGACTTGTATTTAATTGAAGACAATACAACAAACATTAAAGGTGTTCCTCATCATTTTTATTTATTTATGTTTTTTCTAAATAAACACATTCAAGTTTTGGTTCTTGCAACACATTTGAAAAAAGTTGGAGCACTAAAGTATTTAGCATGTTGTAATGTTGCCGTTCCTTTTCACAACACTTAGAAGACGTTTAGGGACTGAAGACACCAAGTGATGAAGTGTTTCAGGTGTCATTCTGTCCCATTCTTTTTGCAAACAAGTCTTAAGATGGGCAACAGTACAGGGTCTTCAGTATAGGGGTGTGCGAGAGATCTGCAGAGTGGATGATCAACATCAACAGCCTGAGGGATCAAGACATTTGTGCTGCCCATTACCTTACAAACCACAGGAGAGGGACAATTCTCCAGCAGGATAGCGCTCCTTCTCATACTTCAGCCTCCACATCAAAGCTCCTGAAAGCAAAGAAGGTCAAGCAGCTTCAGGATTGGCCAGCCCAGTCACCAGACATGAACATTATTGAGCATGTCTGGGGGTAAGATGAAGTAGGAGGTGTTAAAGATGAACACAAAGACTCTTGATGAGCTCTGGGAGTCCTGCTGAAGGCTTTCTTCTTCATTCCAGATGACTTTATTAATCAGTGATTTGAGTCATGTCAGAGATGTATGGATGCAGTCCTCCAAGCTCATGATGGAGTCAGACACAATATTCATTCTGTCTCCACTGCAGCAGGACTTTATCTTCTATACTGGACATTATTTCTGTTCAGTGATGAGACTTTAGTCTGAGCAGAGTCAGATCTTACTGTCCTAATGAAATCATTAATAATCAAGGCATGATCAGATTTTATTGAGCTCAAATAAACGTCATCTAGAGGCCTTTACCTTTCATATACGCCACCTCTGATACCAAATCATCAACTATAAATCTAGTTATTATAATTGTTCCTAAAACTTGGATAGGCAACAAGACTTTTGTCAGGCAGTGTAGTGTTTTTTCCAAATACTATAGAAGTGTAATGGAAAGTAAACCACGGACACAAGCCATAACACATTTGTTTTTCAAGACTGCCTCCTTATGGCGAAGACTTGCCAGTGCAAAAGAGAAATAAAGCCATGATCTACAATCACATTAAGATTTTAAATAAAAATGATTTTATTCATTTATTTATCAGGTAAATGGCATTTGTACAGTCTTAAAACAGCAGGCCATGCAAAGCACTGCTGGCATCTGAGAAAACGAAACCAAACAAACAAAACAAAACAAAAAAGTCTTCATTTCTGGCTCTGAAACCACCTTCATATGGGAAACATTAGGCAATACTGACATGAAGTGACGAGCAATGAAAGGCACAGAACGAGACCCGGCGGCTCTTCATTAGTGTTTGACACACGGCTTTAGGAAACACACCAGTGTGGATGATCATCTATTAAAGAGACACTTTTTTAGGAGGAAAAGGTCGACTCTACAGTGTTCCCAGAGTTTTAACATGCTTTGAATAAATTCAGCCAATCTTTAAGTCTGACGTGAGCACTTTTAGCTTAGCTTAGCATAACTCATTGAATCGGATTAGACCATTAGCATCTCACTCAAAAAATGACCAAAGATTTCTAATAGTTATTTAGGAGCGTGATGCTTCTGTCGTTACATCCTCTACTAAGACTAACGGAAAATGAAGAGCGTATATTTCCTAAGCTTTTATACAATGACCGAGAAAGCTTAATGCGCACCAATTTAGGAAAGCACATGCAAGTACAAAAAACACCTGCAAATAAAGAAACGGTCTTCATCAATTTTACAGCACACGTGTTGCAAATCCTCACAACACAAACAACTGAAGAAACACGCAGCATTTACTCACAACACATGCAAATATCCACGTAACACAACGGAAACGTTTCAAGGGGACCCCAAAACCATGACGGACCCTGCTGAGATATGGATTATGCCGTGACTGCTGCTCAGTGGAGTGATTGGTGGTCTTTGCAAGGCGAGTTGATTCTCGTTTATTTTAATCTCCTGATTACACGGCGTAATAACACATCCATATCTCAGCAGGGTCTGTCATGTTTTTGGATTTTTGCAAATGTTGTGAGTAAATGCTGCGCTTTTCTTCAGTTGTTTGTGTTGTGGGAATGTGCAACACGTGTGCTGGCAAACTGATGAACATCGTCTCTTTATTTGCTGGTGGTTTTTGTAATTGCATGTGCTTTCTTAAACTGCAGCATGTTAGGCTCTCTCGGACACCGTACTTATATGGCTGGAAACTATACTTTCATTCTGGCGTAATAATCAACAAACTGTGCTGCCGTACCATGACTACAGCTGGCTAGGGTTGTCACGATACTGGAATTCGGTACCAATCCATCCTAAAATTAAAAAAATTTCCATTTCCTGCGAACCGTGAAGCACGTTCTTAAACAGTGCTCAACAGAAATGACTGTGATTGGCCGTGAAGGTCATCAGTTCACCAAACTCACCGCTGTTTGCTCAGTGTAAACACAGATACAGGGACACTGGAGCGTTTCAAAGTCACTTCGATCAGCTGGTTTGTCTTTAAGCTGACATACGAGCGTTCCACTGATGAATCACGGCTTTAGAACGCTCCACTGTCCCTGTATCTGTGTTTACACTCAGTAAACATAGGGGAGTTCGGTGAACTGATGACCTTCACGGCCAATCACAGTCATTTCTGTTGAGCACCATGGCAAGAATGCGCTCAAGTATTCCAGCAGAGTTTGTTGGGTAACGCTTTAGAATAACTAAAGTGTTATAACTAGTTAACAGATAGTTATTCTAAAGTGTTACCCAATAAACTTTGCTACAGTACCATGACTACAGCTGGCTAGGCTTGTCACGATACTGGAATTCGGTACCAATCCATACTGAAATGTTCAAAACGTCCATTTCCTGGAATATTTGAGCGCATTCTTGCCATTGTGCTCAACAGAAATGACTGTGATTGGCCGTGAAGGTCATCAGTTCACCGAACTCACCGCTGTTTACTCAGTGTAAACACAGATACAGGGATACTGGAGCGTTTCAAAGTCACTTCGATCAGCTGGTTTGTCTTTAAGCTAACATACGAGCGTTCCACTGATGAATCACGGCTTTAAAACACTCCAATGTCCCTGTATCTGGGTTTACACTCAGTAAACATAGGGGAGTTCGGTGAACTGATGACCTTCACGGTCAATCACGGTCATTTCTGTTGAGCACAATGGCAAGAACGCGCTCAAATATTCAAGGAAATGGAAGTTTTGAACATTTCAGTATCGATTGGTACTGAATTCCAGTACTGTGACAACCCTACAACAGGCGCAATGAAATTACACAGTGACCTTGAAAATAGCAACTTTTAATTTTCCTGTCGGACTTATTACACGACCCAACTACAGAAGAGCCACGATTTAAATCAGAAATTATTTTTGCAAAAACTGAGCAAGATGCTAATGGTCTAATCTGATTCAATGAGGTATGCTAAGCTAAGCTAAAAGTGCTATACCGCCAGATGTGGAGATCATCTGAAAGGATTCAGAAATGATTTTAAATTACGGTGTTTAACTCGGGGAAAGTTGTAAAATGAGCATACCCCCCAAAAAATGTGTTCCTTTTAGAAAACTAGAAACAATAGAGCACTTTTACTGCAGACATGAAGTGATAGCCCTAACCTGCATGATTTTACTTCACTTCTTCATATGTGATAATATATATATATATTTATATACTTCTAAAGTCCTTAAGATCGGCATGGACCAAATCATCAAATGTCAAAAAAAAAAAAAATGGCTTTTTCCCCTTCTCTTCTGGAAAAAAATACACTTCCAAAAAACGACAGAAAAAAAGCAGCAACAAAATATCTGTACAATTTATCTCTTTTAAAACCTGTTTTTTTTTTAAGTAGTTTTTTTTTGTTGTAGTTTTTACATTAGATACAAAAAAATCTAATACTTCATTCAGCCTTCCTTCATTCTGTCAAGAAACACATCCAATAAAAAGGAAACGGCATGATCTGTGACCTATCGCTGGTGCATATTAAAGAAACGCTTCTGAATAATACTATACTGGTTCACGATAACGAGTGACGAATAAAACGACAGACTTCATATGAAGATAAGAATAATAATAAAGAAACATCGTCCTACATTGAGCCGAATCAGTTTTAGAAACGTCCTTCATGGCAAGCTGCTTGTTGGCTACAAATAAGTGTTGCGACTCTCCTTCATCGTAGTGTAAAAATTGTCATTAAATGTACTTCAAACTACAGCTTATCGATGCAGAAACTCACCGTACGCAAGAAGTGCTTCGAAATGAGCAATCTGATTGGCTTTCTGACGGAAGATATCATCAGTGTGATCTTCAGTCATACACAAGCAGCATCGTTAAAGGGTTAGTTCACACAAACATGAACATTTACTGTTAATTTACTCACCCTCAGTTCACCCAAGATGGCACTTACGTTCTTCAGTAGAACATTCAAGAAGATTTTAATCTGAATTTGTGGTGATTAATATAATCGCAGTGGATGGTGACTGTTTTTTAGATTCAAAATAAACACATACAAACGAGTCCAAATCGATAGCCATGGCACAAGTCTGGTCAAGTTTTGGGCTCATATGTGAGTGTAGTCCAATTGTAGTCTAGTGACAAATGCACGAGAGTGCACGTTTGGGCGGGAAGTCAGGTGATGCAGTTTGTTGAAAAATATAAAGCAACCAGGCTACAATCAGATTAACTTCTCACATGCGCCAAAAATTGTCTATAACATGGATTGGTGTTGTCAAAAGTATCGATTTCGCTACCAAACGATACCGGAATGTTAAAAACGTCCATTTCCCGGTAGCATTTGAGCGCGTTTTTAAACATAGCTGATTGGACATTTTGTTCACATGCTCAATCGAAATGACTGTGTTTGGAAATCAGCGCTCAAATGTAAGTAATTGGATTTTTTTTTTAATTCCAGCACCAATTGGTACCGATATCGATACTTTTGACAACACTACTGTGGATTAAAGCTAATAATATTGTAAATAATGATCAATTTCTTACACTGTTAACCGTTTCGCTTCACAGGACCTCAGTGTGTCATCAGGAGCCATGAAAATCGTTTTGGACTCATTTGCATGTTTATTTTTGTATTTTCAATATCGTTTGGTACCGAATTCGATACTTATGACAACACTACTGTGGAAAAAAGCTTATGATAAATAAACTTTTGACACGAACTAATAGTTTCGTTTACAAGACCTCAGTGTGTTATCAGGAGTCATGAAAATAAATTTGGGCTTGTGTGTATGTGTTTGTTTTTAAAATTTTAGAACCGATTGGTATCGAATTCGATACTTTTGACAACACTACTGTGGATTAAAGCTAATAATATTGTAAAGACCATTTGTTTTGCTTTACAAAACTCATTTTGGATTCTGGTTTTGGTTTGTACTGTTTGTTTATTTATTTATTTATTTTTTGTATTGACTGATGCCGAATTCGACGCTTTTGACAACACTACTGTGTATTAAAGCTGATAATATTGTAAATAATGATCAATTTCTTATACAGACCAACTATTTCGCTTCACAAGACCTCAGTGTGTCATTAGACTTATTCTGAACTCGTTTGTAAGCGTTTATTTTTTTAATTTCAGTACCAATTGGCACCGAATTCGATACTTTTGACAACACTACTGTGGATTAAAGCTAATAATATTGTAAATAATGATCAATGTCTGACACAGACCGATTATTGCGCTTCCCAATACCTCATCTAGATCATCTAGACTCATTTTGGTCTCATTTATATGTTTATTTTTTTGAATTTTAGTACCGATTGCCACCGAATTTGATACTTTGCACAATATTATTACCTTTAACCCACAGTTTGTTTTTTTGGCGCATATGTGAATGTAGTCCTATTGTAGTCCAGTTTGCTTTGATGACAAATGTGCGAGGGTGCACATTTGAATGGGAGGTCAAGTGACGCAATTAGTTGATAGAAATTAGTTTGTTGATAGATTCGGACAACTTTCGCACATCAGTTTATAACTGTTTGACCAATCTATGGATTAGTGTTGTCAAAGGAATTGATTTTGGTACAAATCGGTACTGAAATTTTAAAACGTGCATTTCCCGCTAGCATATTGAGCAGGTTTTTAAACAGCAATGATTGGACATGGTGTTCAACATAAATGACTGTGATTAGAAATTAGTGGTAAAATGTTAGCGTTTTCACATTTTTTTTTTCTTCGTTTTTTTAATTCCAGTACCGATTGTTACCGAATTTGATACTTTTGACAACACTACAGTGGTTAAAGCTAATAATATTGTAATAATGATCAGATACTTACATGGACTGATTGTTTTGTTTCACAAGACCTCAGTGTGTCATCAGGTCTCATTTTAGACTCGCTTGTATGTTTATTTTTTAAATTTCAGTATCGACTAGTACCGAATTTGATACTTTTGACAACACTACTGAGGATTAAAGCTAATAATATTGAAAATAATGATACATTTTTACATGGACCAATATTTTCTTTATAAGACCTCAGTGTGTTATCAAGAGCCATGGAAATCATTTTGGACTCGTTTGTATGTGTTTATTTTTAAAATTTCAGAACAGATTGGTACCGAATTCGATACTTTTGACAACACTACAGTGGTTAAAGCTAATAATATTGTAATAATGATCAGTTACTTACGTGGACTGATTGTTTTGTTTCACAAGACCTCAGTGTGTCATCAGGTCTCATTTTAGACTCGCTTGTATGTTTATTTTTAAAATTTTAGTATCGACTAGTACCGAATTTGATACTTTTGACAACACTACTGAGGATTAAAGCTAATAATATTGTAAATAATGATCAATTTCTTACACAGACCAACCGTTTTGCTTCACAAGACCTCAGTGTGTAATCAGAAGCCATGGAAATCATTTTGGACTCGTTTGTATGTGTTTATTTTTTAAATTCCAGAACAGATTGGTACCGAATTTGATACTTTTGACAACACTGCTGTGGATTAAACCTAATAATAATGTAAATAATGATCAATTACTTAACTAGACTGATTGTTTTGCTTTTCACAAGACCTCAGTGTGTCATCAGGTCTCATTTTAGACTCGCTTGTATGTTAATTTATAACATTTTTGTATCGACTGGTACCGAATTCGATACTTTTGACAACACTATTGTGGATTAAAGCTAATAATATTGCAAATAATGATCAATTTGTTACACTGACCAATCGATTTGCTTCACAAGACCTCAGTGTGTCATTTTAGACTCAATTGTATGTTTATTTTTTAAATTTAAGTATTAAATGGTACTGAATTTAATACTTTTGACAACACTACTGAGGAATAAAGATAATAGTATTGTAAATAATGATCAATTTCTTACGTGGACTGATTGTTTTGGTTTACAAGACCTCAGTGTGTCATCAGGACATCATTTTTAATCTAAATAACCCATCACTGCTATTATAAGAACCACTAAGTACCACAAATTCATCTCAACATCTTCTACTAAACAAAGAAGGTCACCAAAGTCTTGGATGGCCTGAGGGTGAGTAAATCAACAGTAAAAAAATGCAACTTTTTTAGATAACCATCCCTTTAAAGCGAGTGTAACAGCTCCTTCGCTAGTGTCATCACATGAGCGTGATATATTTAACATAGAAGATTAATAGGCACAAACGAGCACCGCGACATTCAACAATTACCCAAAAGAGACGCAACGGAAATTAGTCACAAATAAATAACTGGCGGTGCAGAAAGCTGGCATATTTCTACCGAGGGTGAAAGGTCATATATATATATGTGTGTGTGTGACCATCAGCTACTATTGCTTCATCTCTACAACCCAATCATTTCTGGAGGGAAGCAGGAAAAAAAAAAAAACGCTCTTTGACTCAGAGCAGTGGACTCGCTGTTCTGCTAGTGTTATCGATGCGTTCATGCGCATGAACAGAATTTAAAAAAACAAGAAAAAGCTTCAGTTTTCAAACCATTATGACGGAGCGATGGTTAAAGGAAAAAGCAAAGTGGATTAAACCCAGCCGCTGGTCAGCTTGTAGAACATCTCCTCGTCCAGAGACTCGTTCTGGTCCTTGGCTCGAGTGGACAGGAAGATGTAGCCGCCGATGAACTCGTGCACCACTTTACAGTCCACCTCCGCACAGATGAACGCCAGACTGGGCTCGTCCGCAAACTCCACCGTCACCTGAAAACAGAGTACGTCTGGATCAGAAATGAGCACGAGATTCTGATCTCCATGAATGATCGACAACTCTTGTTCTAGATTGGGATCTACCATATATGTTGTTATTTTTTGACCATGTTCAGTAGAAGTCTGAATTATTAGCCCTCATGTGAATATTTTTGATTGATGATGTGGAAATGAGGATGAGGAAATTTTCACAGTATGTTTGATAATATTTTTTCTTCTGGAGAAAGTCTTTTTTGTTTTATTTCGGCTAGAATTAAGCAGTTTTTAATTTTTTAAACACCATTTTAAGTTCAATATTATTAGCCTAATTAAATCAGCCTTTAAATGGTACTTTGAGCTGAATGCTAGTGTCTTGAAAAATATCTAGTCAAATATTATTTACTGTCATCATGACAAAGATAAAAGAAATCAGTCATTAGAAATAAATTAGTAATAGAGCAATAGGCAAATATCTTTACATATGAAAAAATTTAAATATTAAGGATATATATAGGATATAATAAGTATAGATATAGGATATAAATATAAAGGATTAAAATATTACAAAACATATTATTTTGTAGCCTACTTAAATAAGAAAAATCACTGCTTTTATGTCTTCTTCATCTCGGGAGGCTTTTTCAGTTCATTCATAACAATTTGCTTTTGTATAATGTTATTATTATTAGCAGTATTATTTATTATATCCATATTTATATTTGTTTTATTAAAAACAAGCTTAGATTTGCCCACCTGTCAGGTTTCAGACCATATGTGGCACAGCATGTGTTTTAGGATATAACTCAGGTTTTTGAGCACATTTTGTTATTGTTGTTCATTTATTCGTTTGCTGGAAATTAGAACTGAATTTAGAAATAGTTTTGAAACGAATATTTGCGCTTAACAAACAAAATTAATTATTTATAGACTAATTGATATCTGTGCTTAAAGGTTTCCCTATCCAAGAGCGAAAGTGAAAGTGATCCATTATCTCTCATTCTCACGCAGTAGATGCTCTGTTTAACAGTTTTCTGTTAAAAACTCTTAACTGTTTACTGTTTGCTTGTGAAATGCTAATTTTTTCCACTTAGACTTACTTTGCGTCCTGTAAATAGTGAATGCGCTCTTGGCGTGACGCAGCTGGCTCTTAAAGGGAATGGGAGATGAGACTCTGATTGGTTTATTCTCAAAACACACCTATAACTCATTAAGGAAATAAACTCAACCCTTTTAGACCATGCGCCGCGGCGCAAGGCAGATTTCCCGTCCTTAAATTAGCAAAAACGCGTCCTGACACGTCCTGAAAGCGTTTGCGCCCTGCGTTTTGCGCTCTGCGCATGGACCGTCAAAATAGAGCCCGAAGAATGGGCAGGGCATAAATTAGCTCCTCCCCTTTTAATAATCAGCCAATAGCGTTTTGATTTTATCACAGCTCTGTCAATGAGTATGGTTGAGCTCATGTGCATCAAATGAAAAGCCAATGAGAAGAAGGGGGTGGGGCATGTCAGATACTAGAGAGCGTTTGATCGATCAAGATTTGATGAGAAACTGAAGTATGAGGTGACATCAAAAAAAACCGTTGATCCATTTAGGTGTTCCATTTGACATGTTTCTATCAGTTTTATTTCTTTTAAATGTGAATTGATAGATATCCTTAAGACTAGCATATTAAAACTAGCAGCTAAAAACCTTAAAAAAGAGGTGAAACTCACCATCTTGATCTCCCAGTTGACATTCCACTGCTTCATGTTGCTGAAGCGCCAGGTCTTGATGGCGTCTCCTGTGCCGGCGTCCATACGGATCAGTCTGTTGTAGGTGATGCCAATCAGCTCATCCTTCTTGCCCCCCTGAAACCTAATTTGATGACATTGAACAATTACAACGGAACCACAGACAGGGGCGGTTCACACCTGGTCACTACTGATCATACAGCTGACTCTTAAAGGTGCAGTGTGTAAGTTTGACACCCAGTAGTTGAACTTGGTATTGCATTGCTGGATCAAAACACACGGAGGCTCAGGTGGCCAGATTTAAAGGCCTAAAAAAATATTGCTAAATTACAAAGTATGCTATCCATCTCAGATGCAGAAAAGCTAGTCCATGCTTTTATGACCTCTAGGCTGGATTACTGTAATGCTCTGTTCCCTGGCTGCCCAGCATCCTCTATTAACAAACTTCAGCTAGTACAAAATGCAGTTCTTACCAGGTCTACAAAATATGATCACATCAACCCAATTTTATCCTCCTTACACGGGCTGCCTGTTAAGTTTTATATTGATTATAAAATATCACTTCTTACATATAAAGCTTCTTACCTATAAAGCTTTAAATAATCGAGCTCCTGTTTATCTAACCAACCTTGTCTCACTACAATCCAACCCGCTCTTTAAGATCTCAAAACTCAGAGCTTCTAGTAATAGCTAGAATAGCAAAGTCTACTAAAGGAGGTCGAGCCTACTCATTTATGGCTCCTACACTCTGGAATAGCCTTCCTGATAATGTCCGAGGCTCAGACACACTCTCTCAGTTCAAAACTAGATTAAAGACCTATCTTTTTAGCAATGCATACACTCAATGCATCACATAGCGATATGATGCATGAATGTGCTCCACAGAGGTTTTTGCATCTTGTTTATATACACTATGAACAGCAGCTACGCTAATAATACTCTTTATTCTCTATTTCCACCTGGGAATTCCTCCCAAAGATTATGCAATGCCACTGAAGTGATCCAAGACCTGTGAAGAGATGATCCCAAGGTTTCCACAATCCCAGACCAGGCCGTAGCAGCTGCTGTGGTGGTCATGGAGGAGTAGAGAGCCTGAGACTGATTCCTGTGGGACTCCAGGGACCGCTAAGTCTTCGCTGACTTCCTGCGTTCTCCAGCCTCCGGCGCCCAGACTGCAGCTCTCCACAAGACATTTTGCCATATGAGAAATGGTCATGCTAACTGAGCAAGGTTTTCCCGAGGGTTTTCTTCCTTCACTTTTGCTCATTGGTGAAGTTTTTTTTCTTGCCGCTGTTGCCACTGGCTTGAATAGTTCGGGACTTGTTGAGCTGCACATCGATGGATTTGCTCTTCAGTGTTTGGACTCCCGGCAGTGAATATTAAAACACATTGAACTGAGCTAATCTAAACTACACTGAACTTTAACTCTGAAAACTGAACTACGCTGTTTCAATTCACTATAATCTTCTGTGAAGCTGCTTTGACACAATCTACGTTGTAAACGTGCTATGCAAATAAAGACGAATTGAATTTAATTGAATTATTTTACACCACTGTTTGCAGGCGAATTAATGATGACAGGACTAATAAAAAAAGTCTCAACAAGGAGGTCCATTTTTATTGGCATACAGTCATTTAATCAAGATGATATGCGGGAGTCAGGAATACCAGTGACACTTACTTGGCCAGAAAATGGGTGATTCCGAACTCTGGCAAGGACTGCCATGCCTGGATGAAGCGCATCTTGGCCTCAATCAGGCTCATTTGTGCCACGTTCTGATGGGCTTCCAGGATGCGGGCCGAAATCTGAGGGAAATGCATGTGAACATGAATAAACCAAACGACCTTTGAGCTTAAGCAAAGAGCACACACATTGACACACTGTTAAACACAACAGCACACGCTTCAGTGCATTTAATCACCACAAATATGTGAGATGTCCCATTATGATCTGCTTTACATGCAGCTTAACATACATTTCCAGAAGGCCTGCTACCACTGTTTAGTCCCTACTTTCGATGAGCATGAAACATTTCCATATATGGGAATGAGTGATGTCACTGGAGTCCCCCGCTGCTCACTGACATGCCGCATCAGAGCAGATCAGCTGACAGGCTATGAAGACGGCATGCTAACAAACGAATATTGGTGGTCATTACGAGGGGTTGGGTCTCGTTTGGGGTTATTTTGATACTGGTGCTAAATCAATACTTCTAAAACAGTACCGGTGCCTAAACCGATACTCTTGAGCCACGAAATTATGGGGGATGACTCTAGAAAAATTTTATTTGCCAAAATCTTTAAAAAATTATTTTAATAGAACAATATAATTAAAGTTTAAAGTAAACATCAATTCTATTTTATATATTTGAATAACATTAATATATGTCCTTCGATCATTTGTTGGTCAGCATGAATTTAAGATTTGCATTATACTACTAACCTGTGGAAAGGCTGTCATCAAAACTCCTTTTTTTCTAGGGTTGTGACAATGTTTGCATGTTTATCAGTGATCTAATGATTCGCCTCAATCTGAATAAGACAATAATATGATCCAGCTGTTTACATAAGCTGCTTTTAGAATGTTACATTCATGATCCCGCCTTACATGTTATAGTACACGCTATCCATGTTTCCTCCAGAGTTTCATGTAATTTCAGACGTTTCATTTTTAATTTTTCCACTTTAACTTCAGTTTCACTTTCATTCAGGAAGATTTCATTCATGCCCCTATGACAAACTGAGGTAAGGACTGGTGGAAGAGTGCTCGTTCAATGTAATTTGATAGCGCACGTTGAATATAAAGAAAAAACCACATTTGGCGACGCAAGCATCTGTGGTCCTTTAAAGTAATCAAAAATCCCTGTTTAAATGGTTGTCTAGACTCTTAATCAGAGTATTGTCATAATCATATTAAAATCGGAGCATTGGTGTCCATGTACGTACTCAATGAAAGTGCCAGATTATGTCAGAGACAGTGCATTCCTCTGCCTTTAAGTTGATTCTGAGCCCTCAAATGTGTCATTAAGTTTGACGTGTTTCCCGCTTACACAACTCTTGTAAAGCATCTGCTTCACGTCGCTGTGTCAGAATCATTGCTTGTAAAATACACTTTAGAACGCTTAGTTTAAGCAAATTTCATGAACACGATCATGCATGTTGATCGGAAGAGAGTCGCTCTCGCTCATCGAATGCGCTGTACTGCATGCATTGCGTGTGTCCGTTCACTAAGCAACAAGAACAAACGCCTGACATCGCCTGTCCGTATTCCTCAAAGTTGTTTAGAATTAAATGTTTAGAGATGGTGTGACAACGCATACCTATGTGTGCCTTTGATGCACCCCTTGATGCTTCTTACGTCCTTGTCGCAGCACCAGTGGCACCAAAATTCATATGCTGATTCGGTCCGGTACATAGTGGTTACAAAGGTACCAGTGCCATTATGTCACTGTATCACTGTATCAGCATATGAATTTCGGTGCCTAATTTCAGGGCCACTGGTGCTGTGACAAGGACGTAAGAAAAGTCCCCAACCCTAGTCATTACAGTACAATCTACACAGCCCCTAAAGCCCAGTGCACACGTGGATGATTTTCGCTTATGCTTATCGCCAATGTTTAAAGCCATAGGGTGATGATAAGAGCATCCGCATCAATAAGCAAAATGGCATGGATGAAAGAATGATAATAAAAGAAAATGTAAACTGTGTTTTAAATAGTGTTGGGGGGGGGTGTTTAAAATGTCGTGTTACAGAAGAGGGGAAATAGAGGAGGCCGCTTTAAGACAGCTATTGACGGGAGTTGTAGTCCATGGCGAAGTGCATTGTGGGTAATGTAGTTTGACGCACATGCAGTATGTTGTGAGCTCTCGCTGTGTGCTGTGCTGTAAATGAGAGGGAGAAAGTTTCACATGGTGTTGTTTTACGTTTACTCCAGTAATTCCACCCGGGAGCTGTTTTGCACTGCGCACTTAAAAACACTAAAGGAAGTAAAAAAAGAAGGGCATACATCGATCAACTTTGTCCGTCTCCTTATTTGATTGAGCATGAAATAACGAGCTGATACTCTGCCGCCAGATATCCCAGAGAAAGTAACAGTCGTTTAAAAAGAAATATTGGTCAGCCGATGAGGTTGCGGTTTTCGTTCACAGCTGAAGTTACTGTAAAACAGCACTTGGTGGCGCTCAAGCTCAAATCACACACAGGAATTGTAGATCAAACAGGATTCAAAACTGACTTTCACTTCACTTCACTTTCTTTCATAGCTTGTAACTTCTTTACCGCAAACGTTTGAGCAGATATTTGTGTGCTGTAGTGGAGGAGGTTTAACAGAAGTGGAACTTATATGACAAATACACAAGAAAATTAAAGAGCAATGGGCCGTTCCCGCCAGACGCAGCTTGCGTGAATAAATCACATTACTCCTGTGTAATTAGATGCTTGAAAATTTTAAGCTTACACAATAGATGGGGTATACACTGCAGTCTGTCTGCTTGGCAACTCCAGTTTTGTTGCAAAAAGGCTGACATGGATTTTATTGAGGGAGCCTTTCAGGCAGAGAGCTGTGCAGGGGGAGACTCCAGGCGTCGGTGAGCGACAGCTATAAATGCTAAAGTGGTTAATGGAAAGAGCAGTGGAGTAAAACAGCACCAGTGTTAGTGAGGCGTGGACATTTAGCAGCTGTCAAACTTACCAAGTCCCTGACAAAGCCTGGCTGAGGAGTGTGGAAACAGGAAGAGGAAACAAAGGGGAAAAGCAAATAAATGAACAAGGCAGCAAAAACGAGGAGAAAAACTCAATCAAAAGCGCTGTTGATGAACAGCGAGAGAAGAGGGCGGGGTGCACGTGTGTGTGAGTAAACAGCAGGACGGAGCACACAAAGGAATACACACACACTACTTTCATTTCAAACTGACCACAAAAACAGTGTTATGCTTTTTGGCAATACAAAAAATACATTGATTTTTTTTATATACATTGAAAAAAAAATAATTTGCATAAATTTTTTTTTTCAATTTCTCAAATCAACAATTTTTAAAAGTCTAGACAGTGCAGAACTTTGGAAAAGTGGGCTTCAGAGTTTATGGTTGAGCTGTAGTTTATGATTAACCCGATTGTTTTAATCCCACTTCAGACCACACACGCTTCAGTACGCCAGGTGGCGCCACACACACACTTACATCCCCAAAACACACCACTTGGATGACTTGTGTATCCGCTGTGCTGGACGGTAAACTCTAAAAGGGATACAGCTGTGGATGCAACATCAATATAGCGTCATGTTTGCGATGCTGTACAACAATTATTCATACTTTTATGTTACTGACAGGATTTGGTTCAGGGTTGGGTAAGGTCTAGACAATAATAAAAGACAATTTGATGGGTAATTTAATAAATAATATGAATAATACTCTGTATAATTACTTTTATAGGTTACTAGGAGGGTTGGGGGTAAGGGTAGACGTTGATAAAACACAATAAATGGGTAATTTAATAAATAATATGATTAATACACTGCTCTATATAATTACTGTTTTAATGTTACTGTAAGGGTAGGGGTAGGCGTTAATTAAAGGCGATTTAATGGGGTATTTAATAAATATTATAAATAATACTCTGTATAATTACTGTTTTAATGTTATTGTGAGGGTTGGGGTAGGGGTAGAGGTTAATAAAACACAATTTAATGGGTAATTTAATAAATATTATGAATAATACTCTGTATAATTACTGTTTTTATGTTACTGTGAGGGTTGGGGTAGGGGTAAAGGTTAATAAAACACAATTTAATGGGTAATTTAATAAATATTATGAATAATACTCTGTATAATTACTGTTTTAATGTTATTGTGAGGGTTGGGGTAGGGGTAGAGGTTAATAAAACACAATTTAATGGGTAATTTAATAAATATTATGAATAATACTCTGTATAATTACTGTTTTTATGTTACTGTGAGGGTTGGGGTAGGGGTAAAGGTTAATAAAACACAATTTAATGGGTAATTTAATAAATATTATGAATAATACTCTGTATAATTACTGTTTTAATGTTATTGTGAGGGTTGGGGTAGGGGTAAAGGTTAATAAAACACAATTTAATGGGTAATTTAATAAATATTATGAATAATACTCTGTATAATTACTGTTTTTATGTTACAGTGAGGGTTGGGGTAGGGGTAAAGGTTAATAAAACACAATTTACTGGGTAATTTAATAAATAATCTGAATAATACTCTGTATAATTACTCTTTTAATGTTATTGTGAGGGTTGAAGTAGGGGTAGACGTTAATAAAACACAATTTAATGGGTAATTTATTAAATAATATGAATAATACTCTGTATAGTTACTGTTTTAATGTTACTGTGATGGTTGGGGTAGGGGTAGTCATTAATTAAACACAATTATTGTTAATAAAACAATTATTGGGTCATTTAATAAATAACTCTTGTTAATTTCTGTCTGCAGCTGTATCCTTTTTGGCAACAGCTGTGCTGGTCTTTTATGGTTTAACAAGTCTGAAAGTGAGAAACTGATTTCTCCTCAATTCCCAAAGTTTAATGCATCCTCTGAGATTCTAATCCCTCAGGGAGCCCTTGAAGGAAAGATATCGAGCTTGTAAACGCATCGATAAAAGCGTTCAGAATGAATCTGGACTCTGCAGCAGCTCTCATAAATAAACTGCTGTGTTCTTCCCAGACTGTGTCTCTACATTCCCAGGCACGGCTGGTTTCCTGTAGGTTCTTCTTCCCGCCTGTTTGTGGAGCTCCGCCCACTCGCCGGAGCGGAGAGATGGAGGACAGGAAGCCCAGACCATCCCCCAGCCCAGCATCAGCGGACCACTGTAAGAGGACACCAGCAGCCTTCTGTGCACTCACTCACTCACACACACACACACACACACACACACACACACACACACACACACACACACACACACACACACACACACACACACACAGACAGACAGACAGACAGACAGACAGACAGACACAGACTAATGCAAATGCAGCCATACAAAGATGCACAGACACACAGTCACCAGACACACACACACAACACAAATATACACAAACACACAAACAGACATGCAAAAACACACACATGCTCCCCAACTTTCCTCTTGTTTTTGACTCGAGCCCTGTATATTCACAGCACTGCAGCGGGAGCTATCTTTTGGACAATTAGGGTTATGTGACATATTTAAAATTAATTAATGTGATTAATTAAAATGAATGCAACATTAGATTAATATCAAACTTTCATCCATCATTTAATAAATAAAAACAGACCAGATCAGTTATTTTCAGTGCTTTGACCTGCTGTTCAGGTTTTGTTTTATATATTGATTGAGTTCTATCCTGCATTTACCTGCTTGTTCTTGTATTTCTTCAGGTATCGTGGAGACACCAGACACTCAGGGTTGATGTCGGTGGTGATGGGCTCGATGATCTGCGGATCAGGATTCATGTGCTGCATCTTCAGGAAGGACAGAATGTTCTGGACCTCCAGATTGTAGGAACTGTCCGCCATGGTCTTCCCTTTAGAGGCCAGACGGCAGGCGGCCATCCACTGAGCGTACTGCTTCTCCTGCAACACAGACATAGCAGAACATCCTCTGAGTCACACTGCTGGGATTTACAGTCACTGCTATAACTCCAGCAGATTCTCAATTACTTTCATTTCTGGAGTGATCCTTTTGCATTTTAATGTAAATCATTCTAGTAATTGTGTTGTTTGCTTTTGTCAGCGTAATGCATTTATTTTTAGGAAATGAAAGGCCACTTTGGCAACTTGGAAATTACAAAACTGCACCCTGAGAAATAGGATATATAATTATTGTATTGTAATACTACTACTACTACTAATAATAATAATAATAACAATAACAATTATTATTATTACTAGTAGTAGTAGTATCATCATCATTTTTTAAAATAAATAAATAAGTAAATACAAATGATAAACACATGAAAATAATAATGTAACTGAATAAACAAATAAATAAATAAATAAATCAATTAATTAATTAATAAAGTGACCCTGGACCCCAAAGTAAACAAACAAACAAACAAACGAATTTACAAAAAAACATAAATAAAGTGACACTGGACCCCAAAATAAATAAATAAACAAACAAATAAATAAATAAACAAACATATTAATGAAATGACCCTGGACCACAAAATAAATAAACAAACAAACAAACATATAAATAAATAAATAAATAAATAAATAAATAAATAAATATAATAAAGTGACCCTGGTCCACAAAATTAATAAACAAATAAAACAAATAAACAAACAAATAAATAAATAAATATAACAAAGTGACCCTGGAACACAAAATAAATAAACAAACAAAACGAACAAACAAATAAATAAATAAAAGTGACCCTGGACCACAAAATAAATAAACAAATAAAACAAACAAACTAACAAACAAATAAATAAATAAATAAAGTGACCCTGGACCACAAAATAAATAAACAAATAAAACAAACTAACAAACAAACAAATAAATAAATAAATAAAGTGACCCTGGATCACAAAATAAATAAACAAATAAAACAAACAAACTAACAAACAAATAAATAAATAAATAAAGTGACCCTGGACCACAAAATAAATAAACAAATAAAATAAACAAATAAAATAAACAAATAAAATAACAAACAAATAAATAAATAATGTGACTCTGGACCAGAAAAATACATAAATAATGTGACATTGGACCACAAAATAAATAAATAAATAAACAAACAATGAATGAATGAATGAATGAATGAATGAATGAATGAATGAATGAAAATAATAACGTAACCCTGGATTAGAAAAAAATGATGAATTAAAAAATAAATAAAGTGACCTCGGACCACAAAACAAACAAACAAATAATTAAAAACAATAACGTCACCCTGGACTACAAAACAAACAAATAAATAAATAAAGTGACCCTGGACCACAAAATAAATAATAAATAAAGACCCTTGACCACAAAACCAAAAATAGTTTTAAACGATATATTTAAAAATATGTAAAAATATTATAAATGTAAAAATAATAGATTTAATTTATTTCAAAATTACACATTTCTTTCTCATATTCTGTATAATTACTGTTAATATAGCGTGGAAAGTGGCAGGTTGAAGATGAAAAATATTAAACCATCCATCAATGTACTTCTTCAGTTTTCAGCTGATGTGTGAATCTCAATTTTAGAAATGGAGCAGTTTTGTGGTCCATAGTCATATAGAAAACAACAGCAACATTTGAAAACTTATGTTCATTTACAGTCTAAAATCACACAAAACCATCTCACTCACAGTATCACAGCGCAGCCAGATCTCATTCATGCCGTCTGCTACAGGAATTAGCAGCTTGATGTTGAATTTCTGCCCGGAGATGTTCACATCTGGCGTGACTTCACAGCCTGCGGAGAAACAGCGGATGAGCTTCAGTGTGTTTGTTGTGAAGGTGTGTGTTTGAGTTTGTGTGTGTGTGTGTGTGAGTGTGTACCTCTCAGGTTCATCTGGTGCGCTGGTGTGCCGTGCGCCTCCTCGCGGCTCTTATAGCAGGAGATGGTGATGTCCTTAAACGTGCACCAGTACTGCTTATAACCCTTTAGAGTCAGCTTCTTTGGTCTGAAATGAAAGCAACAGTGGGCCAAATTAAAGAGGAATGACTTTCGTTAGGGGCTTTCTATTCTATACTCCCTCTCTGAATGAATCATTTACAGGAGACTCATTCAGAATGGATCATTTGAATGAGTGAATCATTTACTGGAGACTCACTCTGAATGGATCATTTGAATGAGTGAATCATTTACTGGAGACTCACTCTGAACAGATCATTTTATATGAGTGAATCATTTACTGAAGACTCACTCTGAACGAATCATTTGAATCAGTGTGTTGTTTACTGTAGACCATAGGTCTCAAACTCAATTCCTGGTGAGCCGCAGCCCTGCACAGTTTTGCTCCAACCTTAATCAAACACAGCTGATCCAATAGTTTCTAGTCTTGAACACCATGATTAGTTTGCGAAGCTGTGGCCCTCCAGGAATTGAGTTCAAGATCTATAAAGTAGACTTTTTCCGAATGGAATTATTTGAATCAAAGATTCATTTACTGGAGGCTCACTCTAAACAGATTAATTGAACGAGTGAATCATTTACTGGAGGCTCACTCTAAACAGATTAATTGAACGATTGAATCATTTACTGGAGGCTCACTCTAAACAGATTAATTGAACGATTGAATCATTTACTGGAGGCTCACTCTAAACAGATCAGTTGAACGAGTGAATCACGTCCAAGAATTGAGTTTAAGACCTATGAAGTAGACTTTCTCCGAATGGATTATTTGAATCGCTGAATCATTTACTGGAGACTCGCACTGAATGGTTCGTTTGAATCAGAGAATGAGTTGTTGACTTGTTCACAAATGTCAGTCTAATTTACAAATGAATTGTTCAATGCCATTTGTGAACCAATTTAACAGGCTAACTGATCAGAATTAAACAGCACTAGCTCATCTCTGATCAGGTCACAATTTCAACCTTTAAAAAAAATATATGATTAAATACAGATACTTTATATATGTACTTAAGTACAGTAAGTAAAAATACTCTGGTCAGTCCTACAGGTACATTCAGGCCACTACAAACACTGCACTTCATTTTCCAGACACTATTTACATGTTATTTACCCTAATACAGACATGTCCAAGCTTGGTCCTGGAGGGCGGGTGTCCTGCAAAGTTTAGTCCCAACCCCAATCAGACACACCTGGGCTAGCTAATCAAGCTCTTACTAGGCTTTCAAGAAACATCCTTGCAGGTGTGTTAAGGCAAGTTGGAGCTAACATCTGCAGGACACCGGCCCTCCAGGACCAAGTTTGGACACCCCTGCCCTAATACATGGACATTCAATATATGTTTTATTTTTTTGCTAGGCATACGAGAACAAAAAGGATCGATTTGAACTCACTTGAAGACTTTGACGTAGTCGGCCAGTTCAGGAATGGATGTGATGTCACCCTGAGAGCACAAAGAGCATCAGTAAAGCTATAAATAAAGCTGTTTGCATAACACTGACAAAAATCTCATAAGCACAGTCCACAGAACAGCTGCACGACGCTCACGTTACAGACGAGCAATGAGCAGATCGCAACACACAGCCTTGAATGGAGTTTTTCACAATTTCTTTTATATTATCGCAGCATGTTTACTATGATTTACAGTATCTTTCCTCAATCGCTGCACTCAAAAACCAGCTGATATGACTTATTTTATGATGATCGACGAATATAATTGCTGAGAGATTTTATTAATGTAAAACAAGTGCATAAAGCAAATCAAAACACTATTATTTTTGTCATTGGTTAATCCCGTATATGAAACGCTTTTAAAGACTGAATGCCTTGAATATTTTATGTAAAGGCTGCACAATGTTGGTTTTCCTCATAAAATATCGTGGTGAATTTTAAAACACGAATTAAAAGCTTATTCATTTTAAACTTGTATGATATTCATGCAATTCTGTATTTTGTAACAGACACAGAAACTCTGTGAAATATAATATACAATATAATATACAGTCCCACTTTATATTAAGTGTCCTTAACTACTATGTACTTGCATCAAAAATAAATACAATGTACCTACTGTGTGTATAATGTATTTGAGAACACTTGTGGTGCTCTTGAGTTGGGTTATGGACAGGTTTGGTGGTGTGGGTGGGATTAAGGGTGGGTTAAGGTGTAAGGGATGGTCAACAGTGTATTTACAAATGTAATTATTGGAGTTAATTACAGATGTAATTACATACAGGTATTTAATCAAGCATAAGTACACAGTAAATACATGTATTTACACAATAAGTACATTGTGACAAACTATTAATTCCTGTGTAAGTACATATTAGTTAAGGCCACTTAATATAAAGTGGGACCTAATATACAGCAAGTCTCTCCGTCCACACTACACCACTGAAAACGCACATCCTGTGACCACACACTCTGGCATGTGCTGCAGTGTATGTGAACGTCTGAGCTCCAGGCAGTCAACGGGTGCTTTGAGCACAGAACCCGCGGTTGAGAGCTGCACACGTCGGACAGTTCAACAAGGATCTTTTGCTGGATCTCATCTCACTATAGTTGTTAAACGTAAAATTTAACTTATCTTGTCTCTATCTAACGACTCTTTGGCCTTTTGGATCCATTACTTGTTCTCAGGTAACATGATTTGGCTGAGCGCAAAGATGTAAAAATATTATTAACGCATATGCTAATTCTACACATTTGATCGATTGCTTGCTTTTATTTCCCATATAGTATAAACTTATTGTACGTTATTATTTTATAACAGCCAATATTAATTATTAAAACTGATATTCAGCAAAAGACAGGGTATGTTTGGTATTTTAATTGAAAATGAAAGAAGGCAGTGATGTTATTGGCTCTGTTCTGTTATAAATATGGATTCAGTGAAGATTAAACTAATGCAGCTATACGGCACCTCAACATTTCTGGTGTCTGTTAAGTTACTATCAAAATAAAAATAGGCAGTTCCTCATATCATGTTTTAATTTTTTTGTTAAGATGATGTGAATAATAATGTTAGAAAGTAGCCGACACTTTTCCTTTTGAAGATTTACCCGACGTGTCCTCAGGAGTTTGTTTTCCATATCAAACTTGTGAAGTCTGAACTTAAGGAAAGGATGCAGGACTGAACTTTGTGTACTTAATATTGAGTATAAAGCCCCAAATCAGGTAGTGAATGTCTGCAGCCACAACTAAGGGCTCGGAAACTCATGGTTAGTGTGAACGGAAGGTGTAGCCGTAGCAAAACGTATGCATTTTAAAACTAAAACGCATTAGTGTAAACAGGGCCTGAGTGTTCCTCACATAGGTGAGTGGGTTTTACAAACCACCTGTAGAAAACACACTCTTTCACCTCTCTGACACTTTAATCCACGCTTGTTCCAGTTTTTGCACATTTGCACCAGACACTCACAATCCCTCCATATCTCTGAATGAAAACATTGTGCATTTATGAAGTGTGCCTCACACAGGTGAGAGGGCTTAACAAACCACCTGTAGAAACACTCTTCTCTCTCTCTAAAAAAAAAAAAAGCACTAACAGCTCCTTTGACAAAAGCATCTGCAGAATGACTGAAAGTAAATGTACATGGCAGGAGTGCTGAAAGTGTGTCGTCGCACCAGTGTGTTGGAGGTTTTTCCTCCTTCCAGAGTGATCTCCAGATCTGACAGAGCGGCGTCCACCTCGTCCACCTCCTTCTCACTGTTGTTCATGTGATTGTCTGAAGACATGATGGAGAGCTTGTTGATGTGGTACTGCAAAGAAAAAAACACACAATCAAAATAAATGTACTGCAATATGAATAACGCCGTGTTTTCCCAACGCTTTTATTTTCTAATTCACAATTAAGTTAATAGTTATAACAGTATTTTCTTAACAGCAAGTCCAAACTAAAATGCTAATTCTTAAACGCTTTAATTGGGAATTAGTCCGTTTCAATATGTTTAAAACAGATAAATCTGAATTTGGTACATTGGGGCTAATTTGTACGTTTATTAAGCATTTTATTAAAATATTTTTCAATTGTTTTCACACACAATCAAAGTCCAGGGGCCTCATTTATCAACGCTGCGTACGCACAAAACTTTGCGTATGCCAGGTTTCACGCTCAAGTTTGGATTTACTAACGATGAAATGAAAATGAGAATGTGAGTTGATCCACACCAACTTCATGTCTGGCGTACGTGCATTTCTTGTGTGTGTTTGTTTTATTTACATTGACAACAACTAGAGGTAATTGTGTTACTGCACACTACAAAGTATCCTACCCAATTAACCTGTACCGCATCTTTGGAATGTGGGGAAAACCGGAGCACCACAGGAGAACATGCAAACTCCACACAGAAACGCCAACTGAGCCAAGGTTCGAACCAGCAACCTTCTTGCTGTGAGGCGACAGCACTACCTACTGCGCCACTGCAACGCCTTCATAGTACTAATGGGCTATATATGCACAGCCAATGTTTTTCAGCCAATGATAAACTTCCAGTGAAAGCTTAATGTGACTATTTTCAATTTCACAAGGTCTATTTTACAGCATTGATGTTGTAATGTAATTACAATCCATAAAGTTAAATGGACTTAAGCATTCATTTAATTGTTGAAGCGTAAAATGTGATGTAAAAGGGGCCGCTAGTGTATTTTACAGACATGGCAGGGGAAAATTTAATTTAAATGCAGTGCTTGTTGTCCGGTCTGAGACCCACGTTACATTATATATATCTAACAGACAATGAAGATTACTCATTTTTAAAGATATCAGATCTTAAATGTGGCAATTTTATAATGGGAAGACAGTCCACTGGAATCCCTGGGACTGAAAATTAAGAGTCTGTCTGTGTGCATATACCCCATTCCAGCACTGAACAGCTTGGGAACAGGTGTAGATGCACAAACATACACTGATGACAGCCTCAATCTCAAACTGCAGACTCCTGGGGCCTGTACCATGAAGCTGGATTAGCTGTCTAGCCAGTTAAGTTTGAGTTTAGTTTGCACCAATTCTAGGTTTTACGTACCATGAAGGTTGGTTTTGCGTCAAGGCAAAACAACAGCATAAACTACTGTGACGATGATTACCTCAGGTACTGATTATGGGCTTTGCTCAGTGTTCAATGCTACCAATCACATTTGTGACTTTCATTTTCACACCGTCCGCTAGTTATTTTATTTTCAAGATCTGAGGTGAACTATCTTCTGCTTTTTAGTAGTACATCATTAAATGTCACGTAAAATGGTGTTCAAACTCACATCGGTAGCATTTAACACTGAATAAAGCACATAATCAGTACCTGAGCTGATCATTGGCATGGTACTTGATGCTGTTATTCAGCCGCGACATCACAGAAATAGACATTTAATTCGTCGCTGACGTAGATAAACAGAACAAAAACGTATTTCAACATAACAAAATGTTTGCTTTTATTGCGTGTTCTGGCACTGCATGTAGTTGCGGTGTAACGATGGGAGCAGTTAGTGTGTGAATGACAGGTTGACTTCTCTCCAGTTAACAGACTGGCTAAAGTTAGAGCTGCTGATGTGTGACGGGGGTGAGCTCTTCTACCCAGAGACTCTTGACCAGTGCGGACGGACGGGGAGGGACAGAGCTGACCAATTTAAACCTGCTGTGTGTAAACAGTGAAAGTGGAGACCGGCGATACGCTGAACACGACACCTGCTCAGTGTGTGTGTGTGGGGTCCTTCAGCAGACGCTGCTCTATATTTACATGACGTGAAGACAGTGAGGCGTCCTGAGGTGTTGTCACTCAGCATTTATGAGCCTCTGAAATAGCCTATCATCAGCGGCCAAAGGGCCAGAGAAAACACACACACACATTTGCATAATGTCAGCAAATGCAGAGCAGTTGGTTACACAAAAGCAGTGTGGGCTTTTAAACTGGATTAACAAATGCTGCAAGAATGTTACAAAATAAACAGCTAATGCAATGTTTATGTTGAGCTGAGATCGACACATGCTCTTGAAGTTAACTCAGTATGGGGGCGTGCGACAGATCTGCAGAGTGAACGGCAATATCTGCAGCCTGAGATATCAACTGCTGCCCCTGCGACCCGGCCCCTACACTGCTATGGCCATTCTAGCAGTTAGACAATTCTGTTAGATAGTGTTAAATGTAATTAAACGGTCTTTTAATTAATGTCAATGACAATGAAAACCCTGTTCTGCAGAACGCAACAAATTTAAATAATTAAATCCAGGTAAGCTTGTTAAACATTCAGCCTTTTTGAGCGTCTGAAACAGCACGGTGATCATCGGCCAAAGGTCCAAACGTTTGCCCACTGCTGATGCTGCGCAGTCTGGCACACAGCCCATCCAATTCATTAGCAGGACGAGAGGACCTGAGTGAAGACTGCCAGCTGTCAGACTACAGGCTTACACAGCACTCCTGCATTCACACACACACACACACACACACACACACACACCTGCAGCGCGGCGAACATCATCATCTCCTCCTCGGTGCACTCGATCTCCTCCAGCAGGATAGCCCACTTGGCCTGTTCATACAGCTGGTTGACTCTGATGGCGTCATACTGCAGGACACACGCACACACACTCTGATTATACAGTAGTGGTAAAAACACTGCAATAAGTCAGATTGTTGAAATATTTCTTAGAGAAGCCCAATAGAGGGGGCTGTATTTATTTGATCGTAAAGCATTTCAGTTTATAAAATAAATAAATAAATAAATAAATGAATAAATAAGTAAATATATAAATGAATAAATAAATAAGTAAATAAGTAAATAACTATATAAGTAAATAAATAAATAAATAAGTAAATAAATAAATAAGTAAATAAATAAATGAATAAATAAATAAGTAAATAAGTAAATAAATATATAAATAAGTAAATAAATATATAAGTGAATAAATAAATAAATAAATAAGTAAATAAATAAATGAATAAATAAATAAATAAGTAAGTAAATAAAAAAATTAAAAAATTAAAAAATGAATAAATAAATAAATAAATAAATAAACAAATAAATAAATGTTATAGTTGTTTGTTGTTGTGTATTGTTCTGTTGTTGTGTGCTATTAAGGAGAAGCATTGTTTTATTGTTGTTTTATACTGTTGTAGCAGCTTGAGTGTAAGAAAGATGCATAACAAATAAAATGTATACTAGTTAATATTATTATTGATTAAAAACAGAGTTATAACAGGAATACTGCGAAAGAAAGACCTTTTTATTTGTGTATATATATATATATATATATATATATATATATATATATATATATATATATATTGTAAAATGTGATTTATTCTAGTGATTTAAAGCTAAATTTTCCCTTTAGAAATGACTTTAATATACTCATCTAATAATGGCACTTCAATATTCATGAAGGCTGCATTAAATCAGGGATCACCAAACTTGTTCCTCGAGAGCTGGTGTCCTGCAGATTTTAGCTCCAGCCCTAATCAAACACACCTGAACAAGCTAATCAAAGTGTTACTATGGCTGCGTCTGAAACCGCCTACTACTCAGTAGGTACTGCATTTGAATTTAAACGTACCACTCGGCCGTTAGAAAAGTACGTTCTATACAGTATGATTGTGAAAAGTATGAATGGAATTCGGATGTACTACATCCGCAATTTGGTAATGGTCACGTGACCTAACTGCGTCATTTGCGTCGCTTTACTCGCATTTAGGATTTCTCTCGCGGGGCATAATGGGATAGGGCAGCGTGCAAGGGATTCGCACTCCAGAATCTCGCCAGAAGTAGTAAGTCATCCGGGTACTTCTCGCATACTGATTTTGGAAGTACCCGGTTTCCGCAGCCCATGTAAACTTGAAACTCCCAGACAGGTGCATTTCCAATTGCATAATATACTCTGGTCCAGTCCAAATCTGAGCATTTCTGATCTGGTCTCCAATTATAAAGGACAAAACAATAGCAAATGACTGGAGAAACCAATGTAACCAATGTAGCTGCATTACACAGTGAAGTTAATAACATATAATAATAATGATCATATTTCAGCTAAAATAGTGATCGTAGCTCATGTAAGAAGCATGAAGCACACTGACCTTTGGGTTGAGGTCAAAGAAGCTGTGATACTTGAACCGGAGCAGCAGCACTTCGTTCTCCTTGACATCCTGCTCCATTAGAGATCTGGAGGAGTCCAACCACCTGCAAACACAGAGGAGCAGCAATGAAAGCCCTCCGCCATCAGCATCCAGCAAACATGTGCATCTCAAAAACTATACGATACGCTGAGCTCAGGTATAGGTTTTGTACTCTGCATCAGCCAATACGCTGAACTCTGGTATCGGTTCAGTACTTGGTATCAGCCAATATGCTGAGCTCAGGTATAGGTTTTGTACTCTGCATCGCCCGATAAGCTGAACTCTGGTATCGGTTTAGTACTTGGCATTGGCTGATACGCTGAGCTCAGGTATCAGTTCAGTACTCTGTATCGGCCAATACGCTGAGCTTAGGTATAGATTTTGTACTTCGTATCGGCCAATACGCTGAGCTCAGGTATCGGTTCAGTACTTTGTATCAGCCAATATGCTGAGCTCAGGTATAGGTTTTGTACTCTGCATCAGCCAATACGCTGAACTCTGGTATCGGTTCAGTACTTGGTATCAGCCAATATGCTGAGCTCAGGTATAGGTTTTGTACTCTGCATCGCCCGATAAGCTGAACTCTGGTATCGGTTTAGTACTTGGCATTGGCTGATACGCTGAGCTCAGGTATCAGTTCAGTACTCTGTATCGGCCAATACGCTGAGCTTAGGTATAGATTTTGTACTTCGTATCGGCCAATACGCTGAGCTCAGGTATCGGTTCAGTACTTTGTATCAGCCAATATGCTGAGCTCAGGTATAGGTTCAGTACATGGTATCGGCAGATACGCTGAACTCTGGTATCGGTTTAGTACTTGGCATTGACTGATACGCTGAGCTCAGGTATCAGTTCAGTACTCTGTATCGGCTGATACGCAGAGTTCACGTATCGGTTTAGTACTCGCTTTCGGCCAATACGCTGGGCTTAGGTATAGACTTTGTACTCCGTATCGGCCAGTACGCTGAGCTCAGGTATCGGTTCAGTACTTGGTATCAGCCAATATGCTGAGCTCAGGTATCAGCTTAGTACTCACCATCGGCCAATAGGCTGAGCTCAGGTCTCGGTTTATAACTCGGCATCGGCCAATACACTGAACTCAGGTATCAGCTTATTACTCGTATCTGCTGATACACTAAGCTCAGGTATCGATTTATTACTGTGTATCGACTGATACGTTGAGCTCAGGTATCGGTTTAGTATTCGACATCGGCCAAAACGCTGAGCTCTGGTATTGTTTCAGTACTCTGTATCGGTCGATATGCTGAGCTCAGGTATCGGTTCAGTACTCTGTATCGACCCGTACGTTGAGCTCAGGTATCGGTTTAGTACTCGACATCGGCCAAAACGCTGAGCTTTGGTACTGGTTCAGTACTCGGTATTGGTCGATATGCAGAGCTCAGGTATCGGTACATTACTCTGTATCGACCGATACCCTGAGCTCAGGTATCAGAATAATTTCATAAAGAGAAAAAAGGGCATCAGTACATCCCTAAAGCAAACCAAACCGACGGAACAATAAAGCCCAATGGCTGACCATTGGCTTGGTATGTCCGAGCACTAAGATCAACCTCTGTACACCACCTCTGTCTAAACTCACCCCTGGTTGATCTTGGCCTTGTCCAGGAGGGACTGTGGTTTGTACATCTTGACCAGGATGTCTGGCGAGGTGATGGGCTGGCTGACAGCAAGGATGCTGGGATTGCCTTCTGACAGAGGGCTGTCTCCAAACCAGGCTGAGGTGGGGGAGAGAGGACTGCCGTCTCGAGAGTCGTAGGTGGGCGTCATGGTCTTACTGTAGAGTCCAGGACTGGAATAGATGCTCCCTGAAATGAAAGATGTCCATTAGTGAACACTCAGAGGAGCAGTACAGCAATCATATGAAAAGAAGGTCTGGGCGGAATGACATGTTTTTTGACAACGGGAATGTGCAAACCAGCAGGAAAGTGGTTTATTTTTGTAAACAGGACTTAACTGTAGTGTGCTTTTAAAAGCTTCCAGTATGGACCCTTTTCACATTTCCACACAGGGTTGTCTGTATGGAGCCAGATCAGTCTCAAAAAATACAATTACAAAATATAATTCAAACTTGCACTGCACCAAAAGAATTTAAAACAAACAATTGCTAACAGATTAACAAGCTTAATTTACTTTATTTTGATATATTTCCTTTCATATATATTTATATACTTTTGCTTCATCTTTGTTAAATGACTCCCAATTTCACAATTTTTAAGCACACTGGAAAAACAAAGACGAAACTAAAGCCAATACAGAGTAGTCACTGCATTTATGCAGTGAAAAATATACATATTACATTTAATTTCATTGATAATACAAGAATAGACGTACTAAAATCTGGAAGAGTATCATCACAATATATGAAAAGGGCCCATTTACCAGAGGTCAGCAGTCAAAGGTGCATATACCACAATGCACTGCAATTTTCGTTGTTTTTGTACTGAACTTATTTATGAACGATCTTATTTATTGGTTTGATACACTCTACATATAAAGATGAAGAGTTTAACAAAATAATATTAGAGAAGACTAAATAGTTAAACTGCAACAAAACAATTTGAACAGGGTTATGTTATGAAGAATCAACTTATGTTCCCATGGTTAGATTTTGTCACACCGCCATTCCACAGGTTTACCAAATGCAGTGACTGAAAACCACCATCAACAACACGTAAAACCATTGTTCACATGATCACCCATTGACATGACTGCACGTTTGTGGTGAAGGCAGCATGCAGGAGCACACACTGAGCACACACACACACACTCTAGCAGCCAGCAGCACCAGTGTCTGACAGCAGACCCTGCAGCGCTTATTATTATCAACACAGATCATCATACATTCAGTACATTAGTACCCCCCCACAAACATTACAAAGTGCATTTGGAGTGTAAATAACTTGGATGTTCATTTATACTATTGCACGGCTGTCTGGAATACTTGTTTCTGATTGGTCAGTAGTGACATTCCAAGGTATGCTATTCCTAGAAAACAACCACTGAATAACACAGAATTATTAGGAAACTTCGAATCACAGTCATTGATTATGTAAACATACATACATCCACATTTATATGATCTACTAGTAGGTCAGTATATGAGTGATCATGCCAGTTTTGTTTCTGTCCGCTTTGCGTCTGAATAATGCGCAGGTTAGTGTATATTCCATCAGTTGTTTTTTTTTCTGTCAGCTTAGCATTTTGGACTGTTTGGTGCCATATTGTGTCTGAATAATGCGCAGGTAAGTGTATACTCCATCAGCTGTTTTAACTGTTTTATTTTCTGTCAGTTTTGCGTTTTCGACTGTTTGGCGCCTTCTTGTGTCTGAATAATGTGCAGGTTAGTGTATACTCCATCAGCTGTTTTTGTTTCTGTCAGCTTTGTGTTTTTGACTGTTTGGCCCCATCTTGTGTCTGAATATTGAGCAGGTTAGTGTATACTCCATCAGCTGTTTTCGTTTCTGTCAGCTTTGCGTTTTTGACTATTTGGCGCCATCTTGTGTCTGAATAATGTGCAAGTTAGTGAATACATTGTCAGCAGTCCTCATTTCTGTCAGAACTATGTAACTGTAACTAAACTATGACAGCTCAGGATAAAGTTTTAAGTCCTATTTTTATGTTTTGTGGCAAGTAGCAATTATACTAATATTAATAATAAGTGGGATAAAGTACATCCAGACAGTTGTTTTTGCAGAATAAAATCCTTTAGTCTCATACAATAATGCTCCCATTCACATCAGGCTGCTGATAAACACATTGGGCTTTATTCTGCGATAACAACCTCCTGGATTTACTTTATTTACTTGCAGTGTCAGCTCTTCTTCCGATACTGTGTACAAATCCCTACACAGGCCAACTATAACCTCAGTTTGGACATGACATTTAATGAACTACATTAATATAACAAATCCTTAAAGGCACAGTACATAACACTGTTCCACATATCCAAAAATAAAACACAAAAACAGTGTTATATATTTTGCTGTACATGTTATAACACTATTGCAAATGTTTGGAAGGATGTTCAAATCCAGAGAATGTATTAGTTCTAACTGGTGAGACAAAGTGAGTGTGTTCATGCTAATGACATCACACTCCCTCGATTTCAGGTTTGGTATTCTAGAAAACAGGGGAAACAGCAAAGAGGCTTTAACTGACCCTTTTAGGCTTTGATCATTTTGGTGACTGTCGCTTTAAATTCAAATGAGGTGTTCTTTCCAAAAGAGGGCGAAGCTACAAATGCCTGTGTGTCAGCATAGTGGCAGATTCAAAAACAAGACTAACGTCCTATGTTAATGAGGGACAACTGTGTTTAAACCCCTTATAATACTGATTTTTGCATTATAGGTGCCCTTTAAACAATTAACACATTAATTTTGATAAAACAAAATGAAAAAAAATTATTGTTTTCTATCTTAATGGGGAAAAAAATACATTTCTGTGCTTTTAGTAAAGCATAATTTATATAAAAATAATAGGTTGGGATAAAAAATAGGCATATTTTATTCTTTAATGCAAACAAATCCACTACTTTAAGAAAAAGATTAAACAAAACCTTGAGATTAGTAGAATTAAAAACATGGTAATGCCAAATAAACACTTCTAAAGAATTGACAGTCACCCCAAATGTCTGTCCTTGGACCAACAAAGTCAAGTCAAGCTAGCTGAGCAAAGATGCAGTTTTACAGGGAAACACCATCAACATTGCAAACGTGTTTACGGTCATGAAAAAAAAAAATCACATTCTTCAGCAAGCACTTGATCAACACAGAAGCGCTCAAGCAAAGTGAAGCCACAGTCATGTGGGGAGACAGGAAGAGCTGGTGGGCTTTCAGAGGTCATGAGAAAACACAGAGGGGACGTGGGGGAGTCTTTCTCAGGAAGGGTTTCCACTCCCATCGGGGAACAGAGCATCGGCAGCGTTAGGATGTTTACTTGACTCTACGCACTGCTGAGGAATGTCAAATTAACTTCTAATCCACAAACAAACATCACGCTGATGCTTCAGCCACAGACTCGTGTCTGTAGGCTCATACAATTCAACAGACAGTGAGGGTGAGGGAACATTCACTCGCTCAAACGCCAAATGCCAAACCCGGATGCTAATCAAACTGGAAATGACAGCGTTTGCAAGGCAGCTTATTGTCAGGTCTTGCTAAAAATATTTTTAGTAATTTATTGCGAGTACAATCTGACTTTGCAGATAATGTCAGTCTTAAAAGTCCAATTGTTTTGGGGTTTATTGGAAGTAAGCTTGAAATTAAAGTTGCAATCGTCTTTTCTTCCCTATCATGATGCGCGGAGCCTGAAGTTAATAACTTATAATTACTTATAATAATGCTCTTAAGGATTTTGAAACCTGAAACACCCTCACACTCCACCCTCATCCCACATACTGTAAAAGAAAAATGGCCATGAACACAACTGTAAAAAATTACCCAAAATTCCCTGCATGACATTTGTTTGGCATTACTATGTGTTTTCCCTTGTGAGTGATGAGTATCATGTGGAATCTAATGGGGATAAACCAACACAATTTCACGGCAATTCGTAACTTTCTGATTTAGTGGCTAATTTGTATGAATTCGTACGATCTGATTCGTAAAATTTAGTATGATGTGCTCATCCCCCCAATGGGTTTAGGGGTGGGGTTAGGTGCCACACCTCCTTTTTAAAATCGTACAATTTCGTACGGCTGAACTCGTACGAATTCATACGGATTAGCCATTAAACTGGCAAAACGTAAAATACTTACGTTTTCTCGTGAGATCAGGCCGGATAAACAGTGTTAATTGCATTATTTTAGTGTCATATATGCAACCATGATGGTGTAGTTGAGCATTTTCTATGTGTATATTTATGTTTCTCTGCTTGTAGAGAAGCTGTTTGTGATGAGCTTTGACACTTCACCACATGTTTTTGATGGTGTTTATTAGGGATGCAACAATACAGTTAGCGCACGGTTCAATACATACCTTGGTTTTTTAACACGGTTTTCGGTTCGGTTCTCATGGCTTGATACGCATTTTATTTTTTATTTATTTATATATATATATATATATTTTTTTTTTTATATTTTCTATAGGCAATAGGAACAGTAGGAGTTCAAGGAGAAAAAAATAAAAACGATTATTGCAATACTAGTTCCTATTGTATTGTATCAAAAAAATCTCACAGCTGCTGGTAGCCCATGTACAAAGTGGGGAACACATAAATTCCAACATTTTGAAAATAAACATACATAGGAAGTTAATAAAGATTTGTACTTCAGTAAACATAAATAAACCATCTTAATTATCTCTGTGCTTAAAAAAGGTGCGAGACTGTAGTCTGTAACGCGGATCGAGCGCTTTTATAAGATGACAAAGGTCCGCATCTCCAATCACCGAAAACGGCTGCAAATCTTTAGCAATAAACACCCGCACTGCCTGAGCGAGGGATTGTTGCTGTTTGGAGGACTTTACTACCTTCTCTGCTATCCTGCCTTCAGACAGTGATATTGCTGGATGATGGCGCTGCAGATGTGCAGTCATGGTTATACGTGTAAAACAACTTTAAAACTTTAAAGCACAGTGATTGGATATTTACTCGCGGGGAGGAGTTTCCTCATCTCAGCTCATAGATTTACAGGCACTCACAGTCAATTCGGGGAGATATAAAACGCACATAAATTATTTAAACGCAAAACCGAGAAAACCACAATTCACAAGCACGTATTGAACCGTGGAGGTCTTACCGTACAATATTACAATATTATATTATAATATTATATAATATTATCAATATTATATTGAGAACCGTGGCATCCCTAGTGTTTATATCTGTGTATTATAAATGGTACAATGTAGATGTTAATACTTAAAAGCATTGGTGTACTAACATTGAATTTATTGATAAAATAAAATAAAATCACAGTAAATTTTCAAATGTTCCAAATGATTTTACATTTTTAATGCAACAAAAATATCAGATTTGGGCAAAAAAATTTAAATAAACTACAATTATTTGAGCATATCTGGCTGAAGAAAGCCTGCTTACCTGACATTCCTGAATTAACCTGCTTTATCATAACCTTCAAAATGGAGACGTTTGCTTGATTCATCACATTCAATGTAGACTGCAAGCTTACAAGTTGGATATAATATTTTTTTCTGTGGCACAATTTTAGGTAAGCAATCTATTTCTAATTTGCTTGCTGAATGTGTACTTATTTTATCATTAATCTCTCAAAGTTTACCTTCATTTGACTTCCCCTCTATTCTTGCCTTGCAAGCGCCGCTATTTCTCTCAACACACTTCTACGGAATAAAGCAGCGTGTAGCAGGAACGTTTTCTCCTGTTGAAGATGCATTAAACGTAACACCTGTTCAATTCAAACACATGCTATTCCCACATTTTCCCTCACATGAGGGAGTTTTCCTCAGCAGCACCCATAAGAAAATTGGGAAAATGGTCTAACATGTACATCCTATTATGTGATCCTGGACCACAAAACTAGTTTCAAGAGTGCATTTTGCCAATAGCCAAAAAATGTTATAATAGATTTCTCTTTTTTTCAAAAATCACTGGAAAATTGAGTAAAATTCATGAAAAATAAAACAGATTGTAAATTTCGACGGTAAATGAATCAAAACTCAAATTTTGATTAGCAAACTATTTTGTACCCTCAGATTTGAGGTTTTACAAATACACTGTAAAAAGTGATGTTACTTTACCTCAAATAGTGAGTAAACCTCTTGCCTTAAAAGCAACATGCTAAAGAGTGAGTAAACCTGTTGTAATGCGGAACAGTTTGGTAGATTTTTTTATGATTATGCAAACTTCATTTACTTCATAATTTAAAGGCAGGCTTACACACTTTAGGGAAAGTCAAATAATCGCTTATAAAGCAAAAGGTTTAATAACTTTTTTTTTTAAGTAATGTCAACTAATCAACTTTTCACAGAGTTTCAGTATCTCAGTCAAACGCTGGATAAATCATAACAAACCATAAATCCAAAAAAAATCTTATTCACCTTTGAAGTGGTCCGGGGTCACTAAAGGCTCTGGTATACTTCAAAACAAAGTTTGATTTGTTCTTCATTTGATGCCAAAAAGAATTTTAAAAGGCTGATTGAAGATATACTGTTACTGAACCTTCCGACAACCACCAAAGTGCAGTGGGCTGGGTTGTAGAGGTGCCGCAATACTTGAGTGTACTCTGCTAAACACAACAACAATGGCGGCTGAGAGAGAAGAACAGTTTCATAAACATCTAAAAATGTCACATTGCATTCTCCAGCCCCCAGCGCCTAGACTGCAGCTCTGCGCAGGAAGATTGACCCGAGGAGAAATAATTGTGCTCAGAGCCTGGTTTCTCTCAAGGTTTTTTTCTTCACTTTGGTCAATTGGTGAAGTTTGTTCCTTGCCACTGTCACCCCTGGCTTGCTTGGTTTGGGACTTGCGGAGCTGCGCATTGATAGATTTGCCTTTCAGTGTTTGAACTTTCAGCAGTGAAAATTAAACCAGACTAAACTGAACTTCAACTCTGAAAACTGAACTGACAGTTTCAATTTGCTAGAACTTCTATGTGAAGCTGCTTTGACACAATCTACATTGTAATAGCACTGGAGAAATATGTATGAATTAAATTAGGGTCTACTCACACTATGCCATCCGTACCGTGCCCAGGCCCGTTTCCTGGATCGTTTAAGAAGTGTGAGTGCGCTGAATCGGGCTCAAGCTCGGTTCACTTGGCTGGCCCTGGCCCGGTTGGAAGAGGTGTGCCTGAGCCCGGTTCACTTGGGCTTTGGCGCGGTATGCTTGTGTGTGAGTGCAAAACGTGCCAAAGCCCGAAACTGAAAGCGAGACGTGACTTTTAAGGGGCTGTTTCATATGGATTTATTAATCATTCTTACTGTTCAGTGAACGCAAACTGCCGTAGTTTATTAAAGACGAAAACTCCTCACTGCACGACAGCTGCACCTTCAGCAGACCTCCTCATTCCTGCAATACGAGAGCTTTATGATTGTTTATGAGTGCCAAAAGTGGCGCATCTGTTCAGCGAAATATCTGACTGTGTGTCACCGCATCCCTAAGGACTGTTTGGTGAAATATTTGACTGCATGTCACTGCATATCAAACGACTGAAACGACATAACTAGAGAAATCTCCACTGTGCTGCTGAGTGAGAGAGCGCTTCTCACTGAACCGCGCAGCAGCGATGACGTAAGCGTGCCAAGGTCCGTTTGTGGTGTGAGCGCGGGCCGTCGAGGGAGACGGGAGGGGGGACAAGCGTGCTTTGGTCCGGTTCGAGGCAACTGTACCTAGTGAGAGTACGGCCTCACATTATGTTTGCCATGGACAGAGACTGAATGGTACCATCTATAAAACTTTATCAGACGCGGTTGTGCTTCTCATCTGGTGTGGAAACCCTTTAAATCTTTCCGTGAGTGGTCGTACAGGTGCGGATATATCTGCAGCAGCTCTGCTATTTTACTCCAGCTCTGCTATTGTGCTGGATGTTTGTCTCCTTTCTGAACCAAGAAAATACGAAGCACGTTGAAAAAGGCATAGCTCCAGAACACATCCATCGATTGCGAAATCGTCACAAACCAATGGCAGCTCAAAGGTGTTTAGGACTGAAATGAACTCCCCCAAAGAGTTCGCTTTGGTCACTGTTTCAAACTACCAAAATAAACCCAAAAAAACGAATCCTGACTCGTGGACCTTTTCTGATCCCACCCCCACTCTCTTTCACTTCACTTCATTTACAAATAAAGACAAAAATTCCCCCAAAAAAGCTTAAGAGTTGATATATTACATATTTTAAAAAATCAAAAAAAAAAAAAACTTTTTTTTTTTTGTCAGGTTTTGTACGAAATAACATCATTTCAGTTCTTTTTTCGATTTAGTTTGAAGTATACCAGGGCCTTTATGGATGATATTTTGGTAAACCTGCTTGCTTATGATATAGGCTTCTTGAATGACCATCAGTACTGACTGAGCATCTCCGGTTCTGCGTAGATTTGAGGATGAACTGAGCAAAACTTAGGGAATGTGTGGGAATGCACTGATCTCATGACCCTCGTCAGCTGAGGTGTCAGGTGACCAGAGGCAGCAGTGGTCATGTGACTGCTCCAGCGGTGAATGAAGCAATGCAGGAAGCCAGAAAACAGCGAGCCTTACCTTTCACCGGTCCAATGTAAAGTACATCAGAGGCTTGAAGAACAGAAGAAGAGTACGAGGAACAGAGGGAAAGAGGGGGAATGAGAGGACAGATTAACAGTTTAGAGGACATGAAAGACATGCAAAATCAGAAAAGACATTCAAGGTAAACAGAGTTTCACAAAGAATCAACACAGGCTCATTGAGAATGCATGCTTCAGTCCTCTGTAATAAATATACAACATGTTTGAGTGCAGTTTGTAGGTGAAATGAACACTAGGGGGCAGTATTAAGCCAGCAACTTTTGTTCCTTTTCACACTAATAATATTTACAGGGACATATTACGACAAACAAAGTATTATTTTGTTCAAATAAATGCCACAAAACAATTTAACGCTGTCTGTGGTTTATAATTGAATATGTTTACGTCACCTATCTATCTGCATATGGTGAATGTTTCTGGTGAGGTCAGTTTGCTCGTAGCTCACTTTGTACGGTGTTGGGCTTGTACTTAAGTTCAAGTCTGGTGAAGCACACTCCCAATGTAAAATTAAGGTAAACTATGTGGTCGCAGTGCACTTTTCTCTTACGTCTGCTGCTGAAAACACTATTGGTTGGGTTTAGGTAGCTAGCTGATCTGAACGACAAGCACCACCTTCTCCTGGTTGTGTACAAGAAGGTTGTCAGAAACGAGTTCTGCGAGTAAGGCATTTCAGATTTTAAAAAATGTAGACAGTGCCATTTAGCTGATTCGTCATCTAAAAACATTTAGCGTTTAACATTAACATTCAGCAAAAATGTACGCTGAGGCACGTATTTCCAATGAGCCTGTGTTGATAAGAACAAGAAGCAAACAAACTAAAATGTTTGAAAAAAAGTGGAAAAAGTTCTGTTGACAAGACAAAAAGATGTATGATGTTTAAGCACATCCTTAGTAAATATAATCTCATGTTGCACATTTTAATACACTTTATTTATTCCAGCATCAGTGAAGAGGCGGTTAACATTTAAAATAAAAGTTGTTCATTCACCTTACAGTGAAATAAACTGCATGAGAAGCTTTATTTTCTATTTTAAATTACAAAAAAGACAAATTACAATATTACCAATTAATTAATCTTAATTTAAATAATAATAACTAATAAAATAATAATATTCGTTCATTTATTCCTTCAGCTTGGTCTCTATTTTAGAGGTCGCCACAGCGGAAAAAACTGCCAACTATTCCAGCATATGTTTTAAGCAGTGGATGTTCCCCAATTCCTATATAGTGCATGTCTTTGGACTGTGGGGGGAACTGAAGGACCCGGAGGAAACCCACGCCAACAAGGGAGAACATGCAAACTCCACACAGAAATGCCAACTGACTCAGCCAGGACTCGAACCAGCGACCTTCTTGCTTTGAGGCCACAGGGCTAACCACTGAGCCACCGTGTCGCCCAAAATAATAATATATAATAATAATATTTATAATAATACTAATAATAATATTACAAGTTATTATTGGTGATCCGTAATACAAAAACACAAAAAAAATGTTTCCTATATAATACACGATATTATATAAATATATAAAATAATATAAAGCCTGGTTTATACTTGATGCGTTCGCTAGTTCGATTGAGTGCATGCGGCGAATGTGACGTCATCATGGTGTTTGCGGAGGTTCGCTTTGGGTGTGGGCGACATGATTTCGGCTGGAGGACTGCACTTTTTTGTTTTTTAACTTGAGCGAAAAGATTTTGCCTGAAACTGAAACAGTACGACTGTACAGAGATCTTTACGATCGTCCATGTGTGATTATAGGGATAACCAGATGGACAATAATACTTGACTAGAAATTAAAACAGCAGTCGGAAATAAGTTTGTTAAAACCAAAGTGGAGAAAAAGTGGAGACCCAGTGGTTTTAATAAACAATTACAGAAAATGTTTTTCCACTATTCACAGGTTTTACACTGATGTATACGTTACAACTTTGAATTTAAAACAATTTAATAGTTACAAAACTAAAATTAAGTCACAAATTATTTATTTCATAATTGGAAAAGAATATTTGAACCTCTCGGTTTACAATATACTGATGGCCAGTTTTTCAAGGCTTTATTGGTGGTAATGGTCAGGAATGTTGGACCTAGCCAGACAGAATGTTTAACTAGCCAGACAGTAATATGTGAATTGTGGAGCGGGCTAAATCTAATAAAAACATCAGTTATTTTCAGTGAGAGTATTTTTATTTTGTTGCTTTTATTCATGCCATAATAAAATAATATTTGTAGAGTAACCCATCTTCTCTTGTCATTCATATTTCAATACACTTTAATAGGTAGCACTTTTCCGAGATATGAACGAAAGCGAGAGAAGCATCAAAGTTTGATTAAAAAAAATCTTGAATGGTTATAAAAATCTTAATTAATTTATAAAAATAGTTTAAAAATCTAAATAAATCTTGAATGATATTAATGATACAACATAGTCTTGGAAACTTCCTAGCTCTCCGCCCATCCATCTGACTTTACGGTGGGTTTCTTTTGACCGCCCCCTGTCATTTTAAAGAATATCACAATGGCGAATGCGGCAAGTATAAAAGTCTCGTCTGTTTCATGAGCTGCACACACAGTCAGCAGAGGTCGCGGCGCTAGACAGAAGTTTAAATCAGTCTTAAAAATTAATTGCATCATGATTTCCACAAAAGCTTATGATGGAGTGCTAATGATGTTCATTTTGCAACAAACTCATTTTCTTGAAACTAGCTAAACATTCTGCCAAAGTGTGTGAAAGTGAGCAACAGTAGCCCAGTAGTAGTTCATCCTGAGCACACACAGAGAGAGCAGAGGGAGTCGTTTGAAGATCCGCAGAGGAAGGGAAAGGAACAACAACAATACTTCTGGGTGGAGCTGCTGTCCTGCTCATGCTGCCATTAAACTGATTCTTATCTCAAAGACTCTTACTGAAGTCCCTCTGAGAAGAGATCAAGAAGCAGGTCTTCGGCTCATTTCCCCGTTTTGGTTCTAAACAGCTCATGGCAGCTCCGTTTTTTGCTTTCTAAGGCCCCGATCACACTGAACAAGCTTTTTCTGTTGAGAGGCACCTTTTCTGAATGGTTTAATAATGGCCGTGAGTGTTTTGCGTGCCTCATGTCTTAACTGCCTGCTGCACCTCGTGTTTTTGCCTTTGCACTCTGTGAACCTACAATTGAAAAAAGTCATCTCTGAGCGACAAAAAAAAAAAAGAAAAAAGCAAGCAATGCCAGTTGTGTCTTTTTCATTCTCTAATCAAATTAAAGCAGAGGCAGGGTTTCTGCTGAGGTGACAGCAGTGTTGGCGTCGTCAAGATCACTATGAAGACTTTTCAAGATAGGAGAGACTAGAGGTCACTGTTGAACAATATCTCGTTTGAGCATTGATATGGCAATGTGTGTATCGGCAATAGTCACATCGGAGGATTATATTGCTTATTTAAGATTAAAAGATAAGGATATGTAGCAATATTATTTTAAAAACGATTTATACAGTGATGATGACCATATTATTTTAATTATTTTGTAAAAACTTGATCCCAGTTGATCTAAATGAATAAAATCTTTCCAAATCGAGCTATTCAAATAATCCGGTCAAATTATAGTTATGTCTCAATATAAATCGCAGCAAAACAAAATATCGCAATGTCAGATTATTCCAATATCGTGCAGCGCTAGTTTCGAGTTTTCTGGACCGGTATGACTTAAAGGTGCTGTATGCAAGTTTTTGACTCTTCTAAAGCATCAAAACACCATAATGTGTTCGCAGATACATGCTCAGTAAACATTCTTGTTTATCTGAAAAACAATGCTGAAGATATTCTGCTTTGAAAATGTGCGTAACGGGCCGGAACGGCTGTCTATGTTTTGGTCATTTAACCCGCCCACTGCCAATTTAGCCAATTTTTATTTCAGCACCCCATGTTGCCGTCATGGAAAACTGCGTATTTCATTCAATCAGTCAGGGTGGATCTCAAAGCACCTCCGGTGGACAGTAAGGCAAGGCAAGTTTATTTATATAGCACATTTCATACACAGTGGCAATTCAAAGTGCTTTACATAAACAAGAATAAAAGAAACAAGTCAAATAAAAATAAAAACAAATAATAAAAATGCATAAAAAAAACATAAAAAGAGGTAAAATGTGATATAAAAGAATGAAGAAGAAGAGAAAAACATGTGCTCATTCAGTAAAGGCACAGCTAAACAGATGTGTTTTCAGTCTCGATTTGAACATGCCTAATGTTGGAGCACATCTGATCATTTCTGGAAGCTGATTCCAGCAGCGAGGGGCATAGTGGCTGAAAGCCGATTCACCCTGCTTTGACTGAACTCTTAGAACTTCTAGTTTATATGATCCTAAAGATCTGAGTGATCTGTTGGGTTTGTATTCAGTGAGCATATCTGTAATGTATTTAGGCTTCAGGCTTAATAGTCAGGCATACTCCTGTTAATGTCGTTAATCTGGCAACCTGCATGTGTTTTTTTTAACCATGAGTGCAATACCTAGACCAACTTACACACTGCACCTTCAACAAATCTTGAATTTCATAATATTATTACATATTACAATTATAGCAATGTCAACAGCAACAATTGAGCACAATACGCAGCTGGTTTAGTCTTATTTTTATAGCAATATAAAAAAATACGTGCTCTGCGCCTTTTATTTTGTCGTTTGTTTATCCTCTTGTTTTCAGAAGCATGTTTGGTGTGATTAGCCCCTTAAAAGAGCCTTTGTGCAGCAAAAGCAGCGTCTTTAAACATCAGGGCTCCTGCACGACTTTAATGAGGGTCATCTTAAGGTTAAATGGCAGTAATGAAGGAACAAGTGGCGAACAGATCCCAGACACAGTCATGCTACACTAGCTTTGCGAGTTTGCGTCTCACATGAAGTCCGAGACAAAAGAGCCTATTGATGGAGACGGAGCCCGTCCTCTGTGCATCCTAAATGGATTTTAGCGCATCATGTGTGGGGTTTCTGGAGATGTAGCTCAATGCTCTGTTTCAAAATGGCAGCGTGACCAAATATGTGCGGAATCTAAACCATTCGAGCGCCGACGTTACAGCCAGAGCAGCAGGCCTGCAAATGATACGCTGCTCTCGACCCACACAGTTCTCTTTTCAGCACCGTTTCAACATAACAACCCTTTGTTTTCTTGCTCTTCAACCACACATGGAAGCCTCCGTGGGCTTCAAACCATCAAACACAGTCAACGCTGCAAACAAGCGCTGCAGTGTGACACGAGTCAACGATCACTTTCTATTGCTTAATCCTGGATTTGGGATTTTGGACTGAGCCCACATCTCAAGCGCTGCAGTGTGTAACTATAATCAATGTGATCGATGTTGAGTTGTGTGGTTTAGAGAAGAGAGAGTGTTATGCTTATATCAAACTCTAATGAAATCTATTGGGTTAAGTTGGCCTAGGGCTGCATGATATTGGTAAAATAAGGCATGATATTGATAATACAATTTCAGCAGATTGAATTAAATAGCTGTATTAAGAATTAAATCATAAATTTAGATTGACTGGAAAAATCTTGTTGTGGAGTGAATCAAAAAAATGGCAAGCATAATTAATTAAGACGAAATAAGTTGTATAAGTAGTCAGATAATCCGGTGCAGTAATATGACATGATATTATTCAAATATTTTTGCTTCGGACAATAAAAATGATGACAATGGTAGTTTAGAAAAATATTTGTAAATGAAGGGAAAAATGCATAAAAACATTATAAGATGTATTTATATATAATTATTTACATATTATTATTATTAGTATAGGTATTTATATATATATATATATATATATATATATATATATATATATATATATATATATATATAAATGATATATATATATATATATATATATCAGAGGTTGCGTTAACCGAATATTTTCCGCCATTGTATATATAAAATATTTTCCGCCATTGTATATATAAAAATGATATATATATATATATATATATATATATCAGAGGTTGCGTTAACCGAATATTTTCCGCCATTGACACATTTTTTTTGCAGTGACGGAAAAATCTGAAGGTAATCTGTCATTTTGAAACGATTAGAAAATATGCAAATTAAATGACGGTCAATAATAGGTTATGACGGAATTTTTACAACCCTCTCCGTCAAAATGACGGACAATGACAAAGTCTAACGCAACCTCTGATATATTATTTATATATATATATATATATGTGTGTGTGTGTGTGTGTGTGTGTGTGTGTGTGTGTATGTATATATATATATATATATATATATATATATATATATATATATATTATATAAAAATATATTATATATTACTCATGTGTTTTCGATCCACCTTTACGAGAAGTGCCACTTCATGTACAGCAGAAAACAGTAGCAGTGCAAGGCTGATGAATTAATTCAGATCTTTTGTACCTTTAAATAAATCACGATTCTTGGATAAATCGATAATATATCTTGGGGGCAGAATTATCACAATAAATCAGCATCTCCATATTTTGTCCCACCCCTATATTATTGAATAATCAAATGTAATGTAAAACGTGCAATAACACTGCTATTAACTTACTATAATCCCAATTCCACATTGCAGATGGGACTGTTCACATATTGCGTCCAAAACCACGTTGAAAACGTTACAGGTGCTTCTTCCTTTACTGATTTAAATGCGTTTGTGATACTCTGCTGTTTGTCTTTGCTATGGCCAACACACGTGCGGCACGATCAATTTTGAAAATAGTTCAGCTTTTGCCACTGTGTGGATTAATACTTAATGTGTGTCGTTGTTTTTACTTGGGGTTAGGTTTAAGAGTAAAGTAATATGCTGGTGTTTGACTGCATTGCTGTATTGCACTCCTGCATTGGGCTCTCACATACTGTGATTTCTCTCGGTCTCGCACTGAACCCAGTCGACCAATCACAGCAGACTGGGTCAACGGACCAATCACAGCAGATTAGACTCACACAAAGGAGTGGTTTGGAAACAAATCAATCCCTTAACGAATCGTATGAAAGTCATTGGGATTATTACGTAAAAATAAATGCATATTATAAGACAATAAAAGTATTTTTTGACCTTGCATGCAGATCAGCCTGTTGTTGGAGACCCCCAAAACCAAAATATGACCTTTAATAATGCATAATAAGGGCTCTTTAAGTTAAACATTGAAATTAACCGCAAAAAATAACAAACAAAAAAGAAAATTAAGAAAAAAAAAGAACAAATTTAATAGAAAACAACATCGTATCAAACGCTTTCTGCATACGAAAGCTGACTTCTCTAGAAATAGAGAGGCATAATGGTCTGACTATTTATGAAACAGCTTTATCAGAATAAACAAGATGCCAGATACAACATTTGGACTGAAACCCAGTGATTTATTACGTCCCATGTCGGCTATAACGCCGACTTATTGAGTTCTGGAACAAAATGTCTTACAGTGGAGCTGATAGGCCACATCATGTCTGCCGAGACAGAGAGATTACACCAATAGCAAAGACATGAGACACACCTGATCCAGGAGTGAGCAGTGGTCCTTCCAGCTCCAGCGTCTCCTCCTCTGCATCCTCCAGCTTTTTCTTCTTCTTCTTGGGGTCGCGGGGCTTGCGCAGTAAGGAGAGCTCCTCAGGATGCCGGATGTCTGCGGAAGAAAGATTCATTACAATTATACATCAATAATCCTCACCTAATCACAACAAGCTTCGAAAGGAGACAGCCCGACATACTAAGTGTACTAAGACAGCCAGATGTACTAACTTGTGAGAGCCATGACAAAACCTGAACGACACTACTGTAGAATGAATGCAATCATGAGTGACTTCATTGCCAATAATTCCCCCATCATATCATCCATCCAGTGTAGAGAAATGTGAGAGTCAGCTAGTTGACTGTATACTCAAGTGATTTGACAACATTTACATTCAGTCGGTATACGGTACCGGTCCGATTCAGTCGGTATACAGTACCGGTCCGCGGAACAATTGGTACCGGGCCACATAAGAAATCATAAATTATTTCTGTAGAAAATATTCCCCCCGTGACTTGGTTTCTTCCACTCACCCCCGTCATCTCACGTGAAATGGACTAAGCCAAAATTCACCACTGAGCGGGAAGAACGATCGCTAGAATATCGCTCAGTGGTGGTTGTTGATAGTTTAAAGTTATAAAACAGGTATTATAGAGTCCAAATCAGCAGAGCATTTAAGGATTGTGCATATATGTGTGCGTGCATCGCTAAGTAAGTACCCGAAATCATTGCAATATGCATCTATATGGAGTTTCACATAATCATACTCATTAGGGCTGTAACATGCCAATGCATATATTTAATTCTTCTATACGGTTGTATTATTGTTAATATGTTCGTCAGTTGAGATGTTTGGCGCAGATGTTAGGTATTTGATGCATATAAACCTTGATTGAAACATAATCAGACCGCGATAGTGCAACTAGCGCATGCGCACTGAGTTGTTCATGATTAACCTGGATGCACGAGCGCAACAGCTGTGTTCATGTGTAGACCCCCCCTCCCCGGCCCACACCGGTCCGTTGTAAAATTGACAACCGTTGACCGGTCCGCGATGATAAAAAGGTTGGGGACCACTGATTTAGCAGACGCGTTGTCCAAAATGACTTGCAACTCAGGATGAATAGCGCTGCACGATTTTCTGCATGCAGACAAGTACTTCGCCCCGGAAGAGCACCTTCAATAATAATCTAAACATTTGTTTAGAAATGGACCGCAAGATGAGCTCAAAAGAGTGGCTACATGTTAGGGGTGTCAAAATTAATCGTTTCTTCGGTGCACTGCGATGCAGACGCAGACAATTCGGTATCGGTTCAGTAATAATCATAACCGATTATTACTGACGTCATTTACCTCATATGCGCTCTGTCGCAAGGGAAGCGATCGCGAGTATTTACAGCGCTTTAACTACTTAAAACTCATAAACTGTGCACAATTTCACTGTGTGTGTTTGCTGGATCAGTCTTTCACTGACATATACAACAATAGCCCCTATTTCACTGAGATCGAGAGAATGAAAGTAACCTACTCCATTTCTCTCTCTCTCTCTCTCTCTCTCTCTCTCTCTCTCTCTCTCTCTCTCTCTCTCTCTCTCTCTCACACACACACAGTGGCCCATTTGACCTCCTGGCGTGGCTTTTCTTCTCTTCTCGGCTGTTTTACAGCGTTACTTTTGCATCCAGAAACGAGCATGTGTCTGCCGAGTTTTCTCCACCGTGTCTATCATACATCAGCTGTGAGATCGCCGCTGCCGCCTGCCGCCTGCCGCTTATCAGCATCACTCATCTGTGAAGAGCACAGCGTGCAAGAGCCAATCGCAACCGTTTTTTTTGAGGGTGTGACCAATCAAAGGGGTGTAAGAGAACTACACAAGGATCAGAAATTGAGCTGGATGTTAATATTTGTTTATATTATTTGCTTAATGCTCGTTTTGTTTAAAGTTACAGTTTATATTAAATGACAAAATTGTATTACAAATAGTATATAAATATAAATATATTCATACATTTTAATTCAAGAAACGCTGCTGTGAAGAAAATATAAAACTGTGTATGGAAAGCATCATCAATGCACCGAAATATCGAATTGAACCGAATCGATGGCATGATAATCGTAACCGAACCGAACCGTGAGACTAGTGTAGGTTCACAGCTCTACTACATGTGGTGAAGAATGATGTGTAATAATTGTCATAAACTATTAAGTCATAAAGCAGAGTGTCGCGGCCAACAAGATAAAGCATCTGCGGTTGGTTCATAAGCGAATGTCGGGTTTAAAGAATGGTGTGTTGGGTTCATTGTGCATCCCGCAGGTGCAACCAACAAAAGTTGTGCATTTTAATTTAGCTTGTTGAGCGTGATGAGCAGTTCGGTCGTAGTTTCATTTCAACACCTTGAGATGAAACTAAACAGCACGTTCTCTCCGCCTCCTCATCCACAAACAGCAGGACGCGCTGCTGAAGCATAGTATATGTGTGTGAATGAGTGTGTATGGATGTTTCCCAGTACTGGGTTGTGGCTGGAAGGGCATCCTTTGCATAAAACATATGCCGAAATAGTGGCGACCCCTGATAAATAAGGGACTAAGCTGAAGGAAAATGAATAAATGAATGGTATTCTTATGTCTGGACCCTCCAGTTCAATCTGCATTTACAGCATACAGCTCTAAACTATGACTAATGTTGTCTAAATCAGGCCATCAAATAAAAAAAATAAAAACACAATTATTACAAATTTCAACTCAAAGTTCTGCTGAATTTGACTTTTTTTGAGCGTTTCGACATCAAATTTCTGAAATTCTTCAATTCCCTACAACATCATGGCAGGACGGCTCCCCTTCTCTGGATTTTCCACAGTCCTGAAGGAAGTGAGTGTGTGTGTGTGTGATGGGGAGGGGCTTCATGGCTTGGCAGGAATGGCTTGTTTAGTTGTGTTACTAAAGCAAAAGCATTCCAGAGGTTTTAAGAACTACCAGATGGCAGTTCTCTCTCTCCCCGCGTCTGCCCTTTTACAGCCATATGCGAGCGAACTGCAGCGGGTCAGCGCTGGGAGTGAGCGAGCGAGCGCCTCCTCTCAAATTCCAGTCAACAAACAGAAGATCCTTCAGCAAACGCTCCCAAATCAAACAGCCATAACTCTACGTGGACGCTCGCAGTGAAAAAAAAAACGCACATTTCTCGTTTCGTCACCAGCAGTTCTTGCGTTAGTCATACATGCTTTGCAGAAATGCAGTCTGTTCGCTCACAAATATAATGAGTATGAAGGATTTAGAAATTGAAACACATGCTTGTAGACGTTTTGAATAGTTTGTTTGTCAATTTAGGATTCTTGTTAACCGTTAAATGTTTTTTATTTGTTGTCTGTTAGACCCATGTGACAAGTATACTGCCTAATCCTCGCAAGGACGCTCTAGTAAAAGAGATTTTTAATCTTAATGTGTCTTTCCTGGTACATAAAAAGGTTATATTAATAATAATAATAACAATAACAATAATAATATAATAATAATAATAATAATAATAATAATAATAATAATAATAATAATAATAATAATAATAATAATAGTAATAATAATAATAGTAAACTCAGTCCAATTAATTTCATGAGGAGAAATCACCCCTCAGACACACAGAATAACTGATACCAGCACAAAGACCACAGAGAAGTCAACGCTGAATATTGATTAGGAATGGCTACCAAAACTCAGTCCTTTCAGTATTTTTGCTAAATTATAAAAGACCAAAGTATCGATAAGCTCTGACGCTATCAGTACTGAAGCATTATTGCTGAATAATCATTACTTATGTTAGCATTACTTACAGAGCCTCTGAGCCACACCCACTCACAGGTTTGGCTTGACAAACTGATTGTTGTCAACTTTGAAACAGCCCTGATTGGTGTGAAATGATGTCATACCCATGAGTGCTGCAGGAACGACGTCAGACCCAAAAACAAATGTTTTACCATGGGTGTCCTCTGTATTGTACATTTTCAAATGACTAAAATTACGTCTTTTTTAGGGCTGCTCGATTTTGGGAAAAATCATACATTTTTTTTAAATAAATATTTCCCAAATGATGTCTAACAGAGGAAGGAGTTTTAACAGTATTTCCTATAATATTTTTTCTTCTGGAGAACTTCTTATTTGTTTTATTTGGTCTAGAATAAAAGCAGGTTTAAAGATTGTGAAACCCATTTTAAGGTTAATATTATTAGCCCCTTTAGGCAATATATGTTTTTGATTGTCTGCAGAAGAAACTACTGTTATACAATGACTTGCCCAATTACCCTAATAAAGCCTTTGAATCGCACTTTGAATTTGAATGCTTGTATTTTGAAGAATATCTAGTCTAATATTATATGCTGTCATCATAGTAAAGATGAAAGAAATAAAAATATGAAACAAACTGTGCTTTAAGCATCTTCACTGTAAGAAAAACACTTCAGCTACAAAAGTCCTTCAGTCAAGAGCAGTGAGGGATTTTCTCCTTTTGTTATTTGATTAATATTAATGGAAACACTTTAATGGTTTCTCTTTCAAGTTTCTTTTGATTCTCAACTCGTTTGTTTATTACACAAATGAGGGTTAATATGAATAATCACTAAACACCGCATTTTGACACCTATTTGACCATTAAAGCGCTCATGACTTCAGATGCTCTGCTCGTTACAGTGTGCGAATGAGACCGAATGCTGACCGCATGCTTTTGACACACACACAGGAGCATGCGGTTTAGTTCGCACTTTTAAGAGCAACAAATGTTTACAACTGGAAAGGGGGCGGAAAATAATGGAATAATCGTTTATCTCGATTAATGGTTTTTCATAATCGTTAGAAGCCAAAACCAAAGTCGGATTTTCGATTAATTGCACAGCCCTAGTCTTTTTTATATATGCATATTTTATATATCCAAACTGTGAAAAGTATCGGCAATCGGTAAAGAAAGTTTAAAGCGTCCATTTCCTGCTAACATTTGTGCACAACGCCGCTGATTGCCCATTGTGTTGACATACTCCACAGAAATGACTGTGATTAGCCATTCACTGCTGTTCTAGAGATGCTCCGTCAGGATTTTATGCAACCAATACAGAGTACTGATTCCTTGTTATGGTGAC